GCTCAAGTGGACATCATCAGGCACAGGAGAAACAGATCATGAAGTGGTCGCGTGTCTTAGAAGTGGTGGATTGGGCCCCCAATTGGTTGTAGATTCGCAAATAAAAAAAAATATATATATATATGTGTGTGTGGGTGTGTGGGTGTGGGTGTTTTTCCGAACGCGTAGCGAAGAATTCTAGGGTCTGGGGGCAGCCTGTTGTTCGCGACTCGTTGTTGTAGCGACCGCAACCGTAATATTAGGGCGCTGTGGCGGTGACATTAGGCGAATCTTTTGGAGAGGGATTTGGATGGAAGCACGACGTGTTTGTGTCATCTCAAAAAACGGGGAATCCTGTGGAAACGACACACGTTGAAGTGTGGAGGATGATTCACTGCGCAGGTGCAGCGTTATTGTGAAATCCTCAGCTTTCTTCGCGGTCAGATTTGGGATTGGCATTTAGAGGGCTGTGTTTTTGGGATGTTGGATGTGTCTGTGATATTGGGATTTGCAATCCAGACTGTGCTTCGAAGCTGCGTTTTTTTGACAAGTCTCAGCTAAAATGGCTGCTCAGAACGTGTCGAAATCATTCCAGCCGTGTGGTGTGGTGCAAATATTGCTGAAGACATGAAAATGTCATGTCGCCATTCTTCGTGGCAGGCGCAGGTAAGCGTGAGGTTGTGATGATTTTTTTGGTGGAGGTGAATGTCGCTGTCCGGCTGGGATTCGCGCGTCGGCGGTTGTGATTTTGAGGGGCTGGGATTGCAAAACTGTTTGTTTGAATGTGTTGTCTCTGATGAGATTTTGTCGCATGACTTCTGGAGGAAGTCTCGCGCGAAACGCTCATGTTGCAGACTTGAAGTGTGAGTTTTGAAACAAATTTCGTGCGAAATGTTCGTTTTACAGACTTGACGTGTGACTTTTGGAAGAAATCTCGTACAAAGCGCTCGTTGTGGGGACTTAGTTTTGTACGAAACACCGAGACGTTCATTTTGGACTTGACGCGTGACTTTAGAGAAAGCAAAAGTGCCCCACAAGAGTGTCAAAGTGCCCACAAGAGTGTCCCACAGAGTGTCACGCGAGAGTGTGCGACAAGAGTGTTCTATCATTAAGAAGCCGAACTCATCAGACAGAACCGAAATCCTTATATAAACAAAAATCAGCAACAAAAAAATATACAACAATTAAAAAAAACACATCCACACTCAGGAGAACAGGTCTTCTCAGGACAGGACTCCAAAATAACAAAGCAAAAATAAAATGTATAAAAGAGAAACAATGTGGAAGGAAACAAATCAAGTAAGGACCCGCGTGAACAAACAAATAAACAACCAACAGTGTGAATAAATTGTTTAGTCTGGCCTGGAAGTTGCAAGCTACTGAAACTGAAATCCTGTGTGGAGGGATCCTGTGTGGGAGGGGGTTCTGTGCTGTGGGATTGTGGCCGACTAGCTGGTTAGCCCGCTGAGTCTTTTGAAGGACGCCTCGTGGAAATTGAATTGTCATTTGTTTTCCTGGGGTGGCCCCTGCAAGAGGAGGATTTGATGTTTTTATTGTATTTTTCTGGATTGAATCTGAGTTTGAATTCCAATTTGAACTTTTGTGCAGACTGAGTTCCCATTTGAGTACTGATTTGAGTTTTGGTAAAGCTGGGCGCCAAACTGAGTCTCAATTTGGGACTTGATTTGGGTCTAGATTTAAGTTTTAAAGGGAAAACGCTGGTTCCAGTTCGAGCCTATCCCACCCTAACTACCTGGAAATGGTGTTGGTCCCTAGACTCCAGCTTGGTAGGCTCCTAGGCTCCTTGTCGAATCAGAGATTGAAGGAAACAGCTCACAAAGTCACAAAGCAGCAATCACTGAGTGTTTTGCTGAGTCTGGCTTTGTTTTTTCCTTTGTTCAACCAACCTTCTGCTATTTGAGTCTCCAGTTGAGTCTGTTTTTGTGCTTGTTTTTTGAATTCTGGGACTTCTGGGTTTGGGCTGAGTCTCGGTTTGCTTTTTGTGTCAGTTTTCTTTCGGACTATTTTTTGTGTAATGAATTTTTCATCTCGAACCTTTTCTGTGTGAGGGTTAGGTTTCGTAACTATCACACAACACAACAAGAGTGTTACACAAGAGTGTTCCACCAGAGTGTCCCACAAGGGTGTCCCAAAAGAGTTTTCCGCAAGAGTGCCCACAAGAGCGCCCTAGACGTTTCCTACAAGAGTGTTCCACAAGCGTGTCCCACAAGAGTGTCCCACCACCAGAGTGTCGTACGTGAGTGTCTAGCAAGAGTGCCCCACGAGAGCTTTACACAAAAGCTCCCTAGAAGGGGTCTCACAAGAGTGGCCTACAAGAGTGTCCCACAAGAAGCGGCTTCTGGCAGCTGTGGCCTCAGAGCTGGCAACTTGCAGTACACATGTAGTACGGGAAACGGCTTCTAGGAGCTGTGGCGTCAGAGCTAGCCACTTGGAGTTCCAATGTTGTACGAGAAGCAGCTTGTGGTGGGGGAAGCGGCTTTTGGGAGCTGTGGCCTCAGAACTGGCCACTTGGTAGTACAGATGTATAGTATGGGGAGCAGCTTCGCTTGAGAACTGGCAGCTTTGTAGTACATATGTAGTGCGGGAAGCAGCTTCTGGGAGCTGTGGCCTCGGACTTGTAATGCGAACGTAGCGCGGGATGTGACCGAATCACTGTGTTTCGCGGCCTTGGTGGAAAGTGCGTTTGCGTGAGTCCGTGCTTTTGAGGAAAGGAAAACGTGCTTGTGTAAATTGGGCGCGTCGCTGGGGAGCGGCACGACTGGAGGTGTCCACGAGGCTGGGTGTTACATTGTTGTGTCTAGTCTGCGGCACACCACAAGGGTGTCGCACGAGAGTAGCCCACAAAGAGCTTTCCACAAGAGCGACTTTCCACAAAAGTCTCCAACAAGCGTGTCCTACAAGAATCTCCCTCAAAAGCGTTATGCAAAATTGCCCCAACGAGTGTCCCATAAGATAGAAGAGTAGAGTGTCCCCCCACACCGTGCCACAAAGGAGCCCCGCAAGAGTTGCACACAAGAGTGTCCCGCAAGAGCGCCCACAGTTTCCCACAAGAGTGTCCTAGAAGACTGTCCCACAAGAGTATCCCACGAAAGTGTCACACAAGACTGTTCTACAACAGTGCCCCGCAAGAGCACATAGTTTTTTTTACAAGAGTGTCCCACAATGGTGTCAAACAATGTTTGGCCGTTTTTTTCGAGCGCGTGCTTGCATTCGGGTTCGTGGGTTTCATTTTGTTTTTACGTCAGTGGCATCAGCAAGCTACTTCATGGTGCCTCATGATGTTTGCCCCCGAAGGCCTTCCCACCGACATGTGCCTCGATTGTTTTGTGCTGCAGTTGGGTTGACGCACTTTGGAACAGGCAGCTTGCATCTTGCCGCACGAAAGCACCTTGCCATCGCAAACTTCGGTCTGCCCTGCGGACAGGGCAGAGTTCAGTTTTGTGAGGCGCTTAGTTAGTTGACTCGATCCTGTTTCCATCCTGCATTGAAGTGCGTTGTTTTTTGTAACATGTGCTCTACATCCAAGCTAGTTTAGTCTATATAGTCTTACCAAACTCCTCATAAGTTCATGACCTGCCCCAGCTGCATGCTGACTAGCCATGCCTCCCAAGGTGGAGTGGCTTTTTACAAGGTCTTTGGTTCGACATCGGCAAGCTCGAGATCCATCACTTTGGTGCCCAACCCCTCGTGTAAAAGTGCGGCAAGTGGAGAAGGTTGAAAACAGGCCCCTCGAAAACTGACTTGGTGGTTTGAAATAACATGGTTTGACACATGCCAAATTAGGTGGAGGTTTGAACTTGCAATTGTATAATTGTACATCTCACCTGCCACATGCAATCCTTTGAGGTTTGCCGCCCGTGTGAATTTAAACCCTTGGCCAGGACATTTCTGAAGAGGTATGCACAGCGGCGCGAGGAATTGTTGGAGGAGAGGGCAGGCCACAATTGTGAAGCCTTGCGCGACATTAAGACATTCATCGGGCAGTCCCTGCAGAATCGGCGGTCAATCGAAGAAGTTTGCCGTTGCTCAGACACCGGGGTGAACTTGAACGAAGTGCTACTTTTCCATGGATCTCCCAATGGAAAGATCAATGGGATTTTGAATGGTGGATTTGACCCTCGATATGCTGGTCTTGGCACTGGTGCTATGTTTGGGCAAGGGAGCTATTTTGCCCACAACGCCTCGAAGTGCTTCCGTTATGCTGGTGACAGCACCACAGACCCCGGAGGCTTGCGGCAGAGTGTGCTCGTCGTCAGGGCTTTGCTGGGCAATCCGCATTACCAACAACACATGTGCCCAGATCGCAGGATGCCACCCGCCAATACCCACTCAGTGGTGGCCTTGACCAAAGCTGAAGGTGGATGTGTTGATCATCGCGAGTACGTATTGTACGAGAAAGCTGCCATTCTGCCACTCTACCTCATTGAGTTCCAGCACTTGCCGGATTGTGGATGCCTCATGTGCTGTGTATGAGCTTGGCTTTGTCAACTCTAGGCGGGCCTGGTTTGGGACAATACCTCCAGTCTCGTGGTAGCTCAAGTAAAAGCAACCAAACCACAAAGCTCACGAAGTCCAAGTGGCACTCAAAGAACACGTTCAAAGAACGGACCTGGATCTTTCTGTCGCGGGCGAACCTGCGGGTGTCGTGCCTGAAGGCTGACATAGGCTGACTCAAGGGCCCTATTTGACCCGAAAGATGGCATCGGATGATGCACCTGTGCAAAAGGGACATGGAAGGTGTCCACACTCATGAAATGCAATCAGTGAACGCTAGCTTCATTGTCACCGGTGGAAAATCATTGTCACCGGTGGAAAATTCTAAATTTCGAAAAACATTCAAAAGGGGCCCATCAGGTGGTCTTCACATCGTTCGCCCTTCAGCGAATCATGGGGTAGAAATCGCTATGGAACTCGTGAGCTCCATGTTCATGCGGCTGGGCAGCCACAAACTTGTTCCTTCCAAGAGAAGGATCGAACGTCAATGGTGTCTGACAAATTTTGTCATGCACCTCAAAAAAGCTCAGCCGCATGATCAAATTCTCCTCATAGGTGGCCTCATCCCTTTCTTTCCTTTTCATGCTCACATGTTGTCCAGCGTCGTAGACAAACTTCAAGCACCGATTGAAGAGCCGATGCCAGCGAGCAATTTCCTCATCAGTCACGTGGAGCGTGTTGTCCAACTGATTGGCTTCCATGAGCCGCTTGATGCGGGAGTTGGTGAAGTCTTCGTTCACAATCATGGTCCTCGTGTGGATGTCGATCTCCTTGTTGCGGAAATCCTTGGCTTTCGTCAGTCGGCGCATCCAGAAGCTTTGAGAAGGCTCCTCCTGCACTGACACCTTGATGCGCTGCCATCTTGACCATTCCACATCATCCAAATCAGATTCCTCATTCACTGAGGAGCTGCCAGCAGTATGTTGGGGTGTTGTCTCAACATCAGGCTCAGGCTCCATTTCATCGTCCACATTCATTTCGTCCGCTGGGGCGTTATTCTCCTGGATCTCATGGCGTCGAGATGCCTCATTGACCTCAGGAACAGCATTCTCTTCAGTCACATTCTCGATGACCTGGGGTTTCAACCAGGTGCACACATACGAAATGACCTTGTGGAGGTGATCCTTCAGGTTGAAGTACAAACAAAGAAGCAAGATGAGGAGGGTGCAAAAACACTTCAACATGTCACCTTCATCGATCTCAACGTGGATTTGCAGTGCCTCGGACTTGGGCAATGACTCCATGGTCAGGAGGCCACATGTTGCTATTGCCGTCCTTCGCCGTTCATCATCAACATGAAGTTCTCTTCGATGGCGATGCTTGTAAAAGTGTCGGCGGCTGCAGTACTTCTCGTTGCCACGCTTCTTGTCAATCACTTTTCCACACCCAGGGAGTGAACAGAGCGCCTCATCGGTGACGGTCTCACCAAAAAGTGCTTCACCAAACAACTGCTTTGAAGCTTCTTCATGTTCTTCACGTTCTTGATCTCGAGGCTCTTTGTCAACTTTCTTTGCAGCTGTATACATGGGGTCGTACTTCAGCTGGTGCACATTCCTTCGCAGTTGCTCAGCAAAGGTGTCTCTGGCCGTGGGCTTAGTCAAGCCGTCGGCAAGTTGCTGAGCCGAATTGACCCATCTCCAGTGGCCGTGAAGTGCTTCAAGACGTTCACGAACAATGGTGACCTCAATGGCCGTCCGCTTCTCTGAAAGCCGAAGACCTGAAGAGACAGATCGTGCAGCATCATACAGTGACTTCGCGTCGGTGATGAGAGGGGATTCACCAAACATGGCCATGGTCTCATCAGTGGAGATGTCGATGAGGGGGTTCACCATTGCTGCAGCAAACACTTTCAACCATTCCAACTCATCAACGGCAGCCGATGCGGCCTGAGATTCAGCTGAAAGCGATGACCTGCACATTCGGGTGAGTTTGCGGCTCTGCCAGTCGATGATGGTCAAGGCCATGGGCTTCTCAGACATCAGTTCACTCTCGGAGGCGGCGAAGATCAAGTAGCCACCCTGAGACGAGCCGTCAGGTCGAACGCTCCAGGATGCATCAGTGTAAGCTCCAAACCGAAGCTCCTCCAAACAACTGCCATGCTTGCGAAGTGTCAATGCAAAGCTCTGAACAACTTCCTTGGCATAGCGTAACACCTTATTGGCAGTCAGAAGGTCTTGAACTGCAGGAGAGCTTGAGCTGGCTTGGAGGATGCTGGTGGAAGCTGAAAGTTGAGGCAAACATTGGCCGGCAGGCCATGCCAAAGCGCCGATGATGGCTCTCAGGGTTCGATGCTCCTTCTCATCGAGCGGTGCATCCGGAGTGGCCTTTCTGGTTTTCTCCAGTGTGGCAGGCTTCAACCGATGGATGTAGTCCTTGAGGGAGAGGGTGATCTGGTCCCAGTTCATGCCCTGCCTCACTTCAGTGCCACAAAACAACATGTGACCTTTTTCACCAAAGTCCCAACTGCCAAACCGGAAACGACGAGCCAGGAGCCTCAAGCGGGCTGCGAAACAGTTTGGGATCTCTTCCTGGGTCTCGTCAACCTTGACATCATTGGGGCTGTTGATGCCCTCACCTGCACCGATGAAATCATCCACGCGCAAGCCAAGGTAGCCGTCCACAATGAGCGCTTCATGGTCATTGTTGTGGAAGACCTGGAAGGGAGGGTCGTCTTTCGTGGCGGCTCTTGTGCTCAAATAGATGCACCGGTCTAGTGGATGATGGATCATCAACAATTCCTCGATCAAGTAGTGGTCGGCCGTCTGGTACCACTGCCGTGGAGCACGAATATCTCCAAAGGCCGGTTTGGTGGCCTTCAACACTTGATGATCTCGGAGACCCATCATGGTCGCAAGTCGTTTCCTCATGTCAGAGGAAGGTTGGATGTAGATCCGGGTCCTTGTCGATGGAATCGCTTTGCATGAAGGCTGACTTCACATCGGCGCTGAACAGCTTCATCTGTAGTTGGCAAGTCCACTGCATGATCAACATACGACCAACTCTTGACAACGTTGGACTCTCTTTCTCAAGCTCGCTTTCCAGGACATCACGATGTCGGAATCCCTGGATGATGACTCTGCAGTTGGCGACCTTGCCATCTTTGGTGGATTTCCACCTTTGAAGCATGCGTGCCGGAACAAGTTCACCTTCTTGGGCTTCGGACCGATCTACAGCACGCCAGGCCTGATTGTCAATCCAGACCTGAAGGGCCTTGTTCTTGGCCTCGCTGAAGGCTTGCTTGTCCTCTGCAGACAGGTATTTTTCGTTGATGGTGTCTGCGATCAACTCCTCATCGATTGTCTTCATGTACGAGAGGAAGCGAGGATCGTTGACTTCCACTTGAGGCATGCCATCCAGCTTTCGCACAAGGTTGTAAGACCTTAGTGCTGCTTCTTTTGGAAGAGGACTTCGAGACCTTTCACGCCTCTCATTTGCCATTTCCCTTGGAGGATCTTCCTTGGTATGTATCTGCAGCGGCGGATGTTCTGCTGCTGCCGATGTTTGTATCTGCGGCTGCTGCGGTGTGTTGGGTTCGTGGCTGCTGCTGTTTGTGTCTGCTTCTGCTGGTGCTTCATCGTTTTCCAAGGGAATGGTCTTATCAGGTTCCTCGTCCATGCCATTCGGTTCATCATCACCAGGCTTCTCCTGTTCGACATCCATGGGCCCGGGGGCAGCAGGAATGTGTTGAGAGGTGTCAGACGAACTGGGTGCCCCAAGGTTCAAAAAACGAACAGGCCCCCGCACAGGACGGAGAGCTTGAAGGACTTGCTGTTGGAGAGGGCGAGCAGCAATGGTCTCAGGCATTTGCTCCATGCGAGCCACAGTCTCGCGAGGATTCTCCAGCCGGACATGTTCAACAGCGGCTCGAACCAAACTTGCACCATGAGCCAACCACACGCAGGTGGTACGACCAGAGTTGGGCGAAGGTTCCAACATGCAAATGATGGCAGGACCTTTCCATCGCTGAACTTGAAGTTTTTCATCAGTTGTCCTCCAGTAGTATGCCCATTGTCCAACTTCGAAAGGAGGTGCCTCGGAGCGAGGGCGACCAAGCAAAGCGCGTCGTAGAACTTGATCATGATTGGCTTCATAGAAGCAACGAGCTGCAGTCAAACGCAGTGCATGGTCCTCTTGAATGGCCGTAGGCAGATCAGGACGATTGTCGCACGGCTCATCCAGCAATCCTTTGGGGTGTTGTGGAGCTTGTCCAAAACGATGTGACTTGGAGACGTGCCATGGATGGAGCGCAAGCGATTGCGCTGTTGGCAAGCCAAGATGACGGCTCGAGAGAGGTCCAAGGTCGGAAAGTCACGTTTCATCTTCAACAACTGGAGTCGTCGGACAGCATGAAGTCGTTCCACAATCCCCATTTTGTAGTGAGCCTCTTTTGGAACCAGCAGTAACTTGACACCAAAATCATTCAACTTCTGCTGGTATGATTCGGACATGTGTGCCCCAGAGCTGTCAGTTTTGATCTTCTCGGGTGCTCCAAAGATCTTGAACCATTGATCTTCCAGGATTTTCAGCTCTTCCTCCTCCGTCTCCCTTTTCATGAGCGCATTGATCTCATAGCGGGAGAACACATCAATTGCAGCCAGGATCTTGTATTTCTTGTCGTCCCACTTGATGTGGAAGATGTCGATTTCCATCAGCTCATTGAAGTGACCAGCCTGCGGAAGTGAGGATGGCTTTGGTATCTTCTTTTGGACATCTGAAGAGCAATTGCTGCAAGTGAAGTTCTTTGCCACCTCAATCACTTCATCACGAAACTTGGCATCACGAAGAGCCAGGCAGAGCTTGTCATTTGAAGGATGGCCCAATTGACGATGTAGCTTGCTCACAATTTGGTAGGCCTTCTTTCCATGCGTTTTCATCAGCTCTTTGTCCTCAGGACTGATTTCCATTTTGTTGTCTTTTGTTTTCTCCTGCTCAATCTCCATGTCGTTGAGCTCCTCCGAGACCAAAATCTTCACCATTTCTCTTTTCTTCCAACTTTCAACCATGGTCTCGTAGATGGCAGGTGCAGCGATCGAAGTAAAGCCAGGTTCATAGTTCTGCATGGCTTTGAGAGCACGTGACTTGCCCTCCATGGGCACGTGGGTGCCTGGGCTGCACTTGCAAGTCAAATTGAGAGCATCATAGACATGGTCGCTGTTGGTTCGAATCTTGGTGGATTTCTTCACTTTGCCAACTGTTTTGCCCTGTGCATCACGATAGATCAACCCAGTTTGGCATCTGTCACAAATGGCGTCCTGGTAGATCTCCTTGTTCATGCTTTCGATTGTGTCAGTTTTCCAGGACAAAGCTTCTTTTGGGCGCTCGAATCATCATGCTCGCAGTAGTCAGCAACTCGCTTGGTAAGCCAAAGATGGCTTGACTCTTCCTCCATGCGGACCTCCTTGAGGTAGCCCTGGTACTCGGGTGTGAGAGCACAGAGGTTCTGCATTCTTGACCACTTTGTGCATGGAGGAGCAATCCAAACGAAATGTGGGCGTTCGGTCTTCAGGAGCTTCAGGAAAGCTGAACGAACGGAGACCTTGGAAAAATCCCACTCCGGCAAACTGAAGGTGGCCACAGTGACATCATCATACTGCTCAGCCAAACTGGTGGCCAAATTTCCCTTGTCAACATAGAGCTCGAAAAACAGCAGGCTTCTGTTTTGGCCATTTCGTTTGATCACATCAGCAGCCAAGGCCTGGTAGTCATCAATCTCAAGGAAGGCCTCGTCATTGTCTTCAAGTGCATTTGGTTCCATGACAACTTCGATGTGCCAGGGATCAGTTGGACTTTCTTCAATCATGTTCACTTCATCCTTGTTGAGGAGGTCGATGATGTAGTGTCCACGATGTCCCCTTTCAGGCTTGAACCACTCTCCGTTCATGACCTGCATAGTTCCATTTGCAAAGTCTTGTTTTGCACCCCAAGCTTCCAACGTGGGCCGTGAGAGCAAGAAAGGAGTGCTTCCTGGCACCACTGAGGCAGTCAAAAGCAAGCGCTGGCCATTCACATAGGCTGGGAAGGTCACCTCGTAGTGAGATCGCAAGATCTCTCCACCACCGAAGCGAAAGTCGCGATGGCATGGGTTGACATGAACTTCTTGAGGATTGAGGTGTTCCAGCCACAACTTCCAGGTGCTCTCTCCGGTGATTGTTCTTGTTGCACCTGAGTCAACAATGGCCTTGCCGGCAGTCATTGTGGTGAAGAAGCAAAACTCGGCCTCAACATGATCCACATCACATTCTTCTTGCTTGAGGTCCAATGACAGGTCATCCACCATGGTCACCTGATCTTCGGGAACTTCCTTGACTCCGTTGGCCTGAACTCGATAGCGCTTGAAGCGGGGTCCATGAGCAGCTGTTGAACCACTCAGCGTCGACTTTGGGCTGTCGCCAACTGTTGCGCCGGACGAGGATGTTGTCGGACGTCGAAGTCCAGACATTGGCCTCCGATTGTCGAAGGAGCGACGAAATCCACCGCCAGAACCTTTTCCTTTTCCTTTGCTTTTTCCTACCTTGCCCTTTGACTTTCCTTTGCTTTTGCCTTTTCCACCACCTCCAGAACCACCTTTGCTCCAGGCTTTCCCTTCATCAGGAGGCAGTGCAACAACAGGGAAAAATCCACTTGAAAGGGCAAGCTCTCGCATTCGTCGTCGGCTTTCGAGGTAGTTGATGTAGGCCTCATCGACCTGGTCAACAGCTTCATCGATTTCGGGGTCCTCCTCTTCATACTCATCAGCCTCATAGGCTTCTTCCTCATAGCCCCATTCATAGTCTTCATAGTTGTAGTAGGCCTCATAGGGTTCTTCATCTTCGTAGGTGACTTCATACTCTTCTTCGAAGAAACCATCGTCCTTGGCAGAGCTTCCACCGGTCTTGATGTCTTTCACATTTGGACGATGGTCGCCGCCAAACATTTTCATCAGGGCCTTTTGAACACGATCATACTCGAGTTCACCTTGACATAGGGCTTTCACCTGCACATGAGTCCACTTCGGCACCGCTGCCCTGGTCAAGAGGTGCCAACCAGCAAGTGGTGAAGGGATCGTGATCTTGACCTCTTGCATCTTGGCCATCATGGTCTTGTGCCTAATCAAGTAGGCTTGCATCTCTTCATTCTTCAACCTGGCGAACTCGCCAAAGAACTCTTCACATCGTGCAGGGACTTCAATCTCCTCCTGGTACTGGTAGATCTCATCGAGGATCACATAGATGGGCTTGAAGGGACGCGCACTGCTTTCCAAAGCGGTGTAGTCGATGGACTCTGTAGCCTCCCACGCCAGGTTGTTGAGGCGTGAGATCATGAGCAGTGCACCTTCCACCGCGGCATCAACACTTCTTCGATGACATTGACGTTCAAACAACTCAAGGCGGCGTCGAAAGGACCTGTAGGATTTCTGTGTGAGTCCTTCCATGTTGGGACATGCTTTTGCCAAGCCGCCATCCAAGCCGCGAACTTGAGGGGCATAAGGGGCTTGAGCTTGTGCGCCTTGTGGTTCATCTCCTCCGTTAGGACGGACACCATCTTCTTCATCACGAGTCCTTTGACGGCGCACAGCCGTTCTTTGAGCTCCCTTGCCACCTTTTCCTCTCTCATCAGACATTTGCCTCGCCGAACACGATCTTTGAGGTGAGCGTGTGCTTATCTTCTTAGAAGATGCAAAAGGAGGGGTCAATCACAAAGAGTCGTGCCGTCAAAGCCGGGAGAGAGGAGCGTCGCCGGCTCCGCTACCAATCTCGTGGTAGCTCAAGTAAAAGCAACCAAACCACAAAGCTCACGAAGTCCAAGTGGCACTCAAAGAACACGTTCAAAGAACGGACCTGGATCTTTCTGTCGCGGGCGAACCTGCGGGTGTCGTGCCTGAAGGCTGACATAGACTGACTCAAGGGCCCTATTTGACCCGAAAGATGGCATCGGATGATGCACCTGTGCAAAAGGGACATGGAAGGTGTCCACACTCATGAAATGCATTCAGTGAACGCTAGCTTCATTGTCATCCAGCAATTTGGGTTGTTTTTAGGAGCAAGGACGCTACTAGGGGATCCTGGCCTTACTATATACTAGGAACAAGCTATATAATATATACGTCTATATACTAGTAATAAGGGCATCGCTACTAGTAGCACCACTCCCTTTTTGCTCATCCAATAGCAGCCGCTTTATGTACGTGTCAGGCATTCTTTGTGGCTTTCCTGGCGCTCGCAAAGCACGCCAGCATGCATTTTTGTCCAGACTTGTCTCCGATTGTCAAGTCGAATTAATGCAGTTTTCTGCATCACTTGCGAATAGTAGGTCAGGGCGATGCGGGATACGTAGAGGACGGGGGCATGCTGAATTGAGTCCTGCCAGTTTCTGTTTTTCTGCCATTGCCATGCACGCTTATCTCGAAACTGGGCCACCACTGTTGTCATTAAACAGCAGTTCATCAGTTTGTCCATGCATATGTTCCAGACGAAGGGGCTACTATTATGTGTTTTTTGATGTTTTTTGAATCTGTCTGTTGATCTGCCTCCCAAGCTGAAATTCTTGTGACGCATGGCAATGAAATTCACAGTGCGGACTCATTTTTCAAGATGTCGACGCAAAGAGTCTGAACAACGTTCCGAGAGCAATGTTGACTCAAGGCACCTTGGTCGCAGGAGTGGCCAAGGTATGTTCAATCAAGCAAACTGTTTTTGGTAGAATTTGTATGAGTAATTAGGCTTGACAATGGCCAGACTTGTAGTAAATGTTTGCCTCTTTGATCCGCCTGATTCTCCAGGGTCCAGTGGTCACGTATCAAAAGGAGTCCTCCGGAATCATTATCGGAATCAATGTGGAATTTAAGATCTTGGCAAAACGCATTTTCAGTTGCAAAAGGCACAGTTCTTCAGAGCAAACGCTTGTTGTGGCACTTTCCTGCATTTGGGTTCCTGTGGCCGTTCGGAGTCCGGAGTGGTCAGGTCCTATTTATCTCTTCTTTTTATATTCCTTTCATCTTCCACTGGGTACCCTAATCTTCAGCCTCATTCTCTCATATGCGAGCCGTCCGTAAATGCCAGCGAATGAGTTTTGATAAATATCAACTAGACGCAAGGGTGGCCCGAAAGCACAGTAGGAGATGACAGGAGGCAACGATGAGGATGAGGATTGAAGATGATGATGGTGGCAGTGCTAATAGTGATGAGGATCATAACGGTGCTAATACTAAGCCTCGTGGACACCACCAATCATCCCGCTCCCCGCAACACGCGCACTTTCCACCGAGGCCGCGCAAAAGCGCATGGCGCAGCGACATCACGGACGTAATTTGGACACATCCCGCACTGCATTTGCACTACAAAGTCGCCTCTTCTGAGGCCACAGCTGGTAGAACTTTCTTTCCGCCCACATGTGTACTACCAAGTTACTAGTTCTGACGCCACAGCTCCCAAGTCGCCAGCTTTGAAGCCACAGCTCCCAGAAGCTGCTTCCCGCAGTGCATTTATACTACCAAGTGGCCAGTTTTGACGCCACAGCTCCCAGAAGCTGCTTCCTGTACTACACTTGCACTATCCAGTCGCCAGTTCTGATGCTACAGCTCCCAGGAGCATCTCCACATGTTTGCCTTCCATGGTTGCTGCAAAACAATATCAGCCTTTGTTTGGCACAAATCCTGGAAGTCTGCGGGCTCTTTTCTCTTCCACGAACGTTACTCAAAAAACGGTTCGTCTTCTATCACTGCTTCAGAGAGTGTATGTTCCCATTTCGACGATGGTTACAAACTTTGGCCACCTCCACTTTCGTTTTCGGCGACAGTTACACACTTTGGCAACCTCCGCCGTCATTTTCGACAACACGTACACACATTGGCCACCTCCAGTTCGTTTTCGACAACACCTACACATCTTGGCAACCTCCAGTGAGACCTCCACCATCGTTTTTGACGTCAGTTTTACACACTTTGACCTCCACCTTCGTTTTCGACGGCAGTTACACATTGTGGGCCACTTCGGAAACTTCCATGTCGATTTTCGACGACGGGGTGGTGATGATGATGGCTAAGACGATTAGGACAGTTGAAGTTGGTAGCCGCTCTTAAAGGAGAACCCTTTGCAGGCGCTTTCAAATTCGGGAGAAAGGAAAAATGTAATCTGCGAAACGCCAGCGGTTGGACGGCAACAATGAAAACACGCATGAAGTTACTGTAGGCACATGCAACATGCATGATTCAAACAATATCAAACATATCGTACTTGCTGCTGGAAGTGCATGAGTGCGTATGTGATATATACTTAGATAGTCATTAAAAATATATGTTAATATATTCATTAATGTTTCTCTTGTTTCACTGCGAAGAAAAACGATTTTTGCGAAAGGCCCACAAAAGGGCGAGTTCGAAGGGCATTTGCCCATCCATATCCTTGACACACTGGGCGCTGGGGAAGGAGTTGGACGCTGCTCCCATGAACGCTTGAGAGGATGTTTGCATAAGGTTTGTTTGTGTTTTTGCAGTCGCAAAACGCCAGCGTTAGGACCCTTAAAGGATGAACTTTGTTGGGTAACCAATGATGTCTTTTCATGGAAGCAACCCACATTTTAAGCAACAGTTCGCAATTGCAAGATTCTAGGATGGTGACTTGATGTGAAAGATTCGAAGGTTTTTTTCTGCCCAATTCTGATAATCAGGGAGCCTAGCTCGACTCTCTTCAGATGCAGGGGGTAAATGGTAGAATGGAGTCTTGAGTATTTGGGTAGTTGTTCCTGACATATGTATATTATATATATATACAGCTGTTGCTCCAGTGCTTGCAAGCTACATGGAAAGTTACCTTGTGACCACAACTTGCAGTGCTTGCGCCAAATCCCTCTTAGTATGTTTCCCTCTCTCCCTTTCTCTCCGACTCTTTTTTTTGGCTCTCCTGACAGCTGCTTAGTCTGTGTGAAGAGCATTGGGTCCTTGGAATCGGGAATAGGCGCAGTGGGAAAATCATACAGTCCTTGTTCCCAGTGGCGATGCCAGGAACCCTAGTAGCGCCCTTTGCTCCTAGTAGCGATGCCCTTTGTTACTAGTAGCGTTCTTGTTGCTGGTCCTTCAGAGGGCACAGGAAATTGAGGACTTAAAGCCTTCTCGCTAAGGCATCGACGACTGGCACCGGTCTTCTGTGCGCCTCAGAGAGCGTTGTGAAGATGCCGGCGTTTTTTGGCAACCTCCAGAAAGAGACAAACAGGCCGCACTAAGAGGTGGTCTCAATTTGAACATACACCATCAGTACATCACAGTATCTCACAACAGACTTGAACCGCACTGGAACCGTGATAGAGTACGATCGGTAAGGTCTTCAAGCTGCTCATCACGTTGGCAGCTACCAGACACTCTTTCCAACGATGTGCCCTCAACCCTTCCAAACATCGGTTCAGCAAAAAGGACAAGCCCAAATAGAAGACACACAAAGATGCGCACGCAGCAGAACCAGTCACCATCCGAATGGACCCAGCGCCTTTCAGGCAGCACACCATGCTTCATCTGGAGGTTGCTGGATGCTGCAGCCAGCCAACCCTGTATTAGAGTTGATAGGAGCCGTCGCAAGATGTCTCCAGCTGCGCACTTTTGCCCTGCGGAGGCTACGAATTTTCAGCAACAAGGAAGCAGCCCACCCAGCCCCGAACAGAAAAGATCAGAAAAGTATACGTCCAAAGGAGGCGACAAAGCTTAGATTATGTTCAGTATTCATGTTGTATTGAGCACAGTGGCTTTGGGTGGTGAAGCGAACTTTCAAGCAACCGCTTTTTCAAGTCAGCACCTGCTTCTATGTTGCAACTTTCAAGACTGCACGCCTGCCCAATCTGATGCCGCTTCAAGCCAGAAGCTGGACTTTTTCGGCTTCTCACGTCAAACCAGAGTATTTGCTGATTTCCTGCCTGAGAAGAAGACTCGTTTCTGGCCTAAAGAGGGACTTGCGCTTGAGAAGCTCCTGAGAAACCATGGAGCTTCATAGACTTTCGTTCCATTGGGATCGGCGACTCAAAAGATTGCCCGAACTTTTTTTTTAGATGGACATCACCTTGCACCCCAGAGTTTAGCACAAATCGATTGAGGCTTCCGAGGGCCAAGCTTGACAGCACACTGCCGTGACTCGTTTTGAGTGCGCTTTTCCTTGCTTGCTATCGCGCAGGTTGTCTCAGCAACCCGTCAAAGTTAATGTGGAGCAATGACCTAAGAAACTATTCAATCACGCGATCAGAAAGTGCATACTTGCGGCAATGCCGGCACTGGGGATTGGTGGGAATATGAGATGAGTGATCACAGGACTCGGAAGGCTAAAGCAGTAAGCAGATAGTGAGAGAGTCAGTTGCAGAACGAGATGGTTTGCCCAACAGAGTGAGATCACTTTTCGTTGTAAGGTGGTTGTTCCTTGAATAACAAGTGAGATGCCTTGGTTCACCTTGTTCCACCTCCAAGACAAACATATGGACCCGGAGCAAATGAGCCGCTTACATCAGGCCTTCTTCGACTACTCCTGGCTCTGAACGCAGTGGACCTAGTGTGATAGGTTGTGAATAGAAATTGAATTTATATGAATTTATATACTATATATGTTTATGGATGTTTATGTGCATGTTTCCTGAAGGGTTTCATGAGAAGCGAGTGCGTTTCCTACATAAATAGAAGTGCCACTTGAAGTCAGGGTTGCCCTAGTGCTCATGCACATGTTTAGTGAGGCTGCCTCCCTTGAAGAAAAGGGTACCTAAACCCGCACATTGCAAAGGGAGCAAGATGGAGTAAGCATTTTGAGCATTGATTTCGCTCGGCTCCGCATGATTGCATTAATAATCATAAGTTGAATATCAGTGGTAGAGGTGTTCCAAGGGTTCATTGGATGTCGGTCCGGAGGACATGTGTGAATTGAAGGGAAACGGCAGATAGCAAAACATGTTGAGAAAGATAGCAGTACTGTAGGCTTCAGGGCTGAAGAAGAGCTGGTGGAAGATTGCACACGTGCCGCCCAAAACGCTCAGCTTGCTGCAGGCTCTCACGGACACAGCACACCTGAGGAGACGCTTTGTTGAGCAGACCATTGTCGCACTGCTTCAGTTCAAGCGACAACATGACAGGAGAACCTTTATGTAGCGAGTATGACAATGACTTATATATTGACGCTGTGTAACTGTTTCAGAAGCAAACATTTTTGCTGCCTCCGACCGTCAAGCACGGCTCAAGAAATGGTTGGCCGAGATAGGCCATTCTAACTGCAGTAGTACGGCTTGTACCTGAAGTTAATGATCACATACTGCCAAAGTGAGGGTTTCCACCTCCCACGTTGTGAGTTCAGCGGTCAGGTGTAGCATTGCTTGATCGCCACAATCACACGAACACATTGAGCCAAGCACCTCCTCCAACATTCTTATGCATTCTTGACAAGTGAGGACCTTTTTGGGGGTGTGGGCGAAAAAGTGCTCTTAAGCGCAAAATTGCTCTTAGCATCTCTTAACAGTCTTAACATTCAATCAGGGCCTCGATGGGTGCAACAAGTCCTTCAACGGCACCATGCCCACCATGCCTGCCATACCACTGTCCCTGGGGTTAGCTGCGCTGGCCGTCTTGGCCGCCGCAATGGCCTTCGCCGTCCCGTGCCTCGGCCGATCAATTGGGTGGGATCGAGCATCGATCTGGGTCGCTGCACCACAGGAATGTGTGGCGGGACCGCGATGAGACAAAGCTCTACGCGAGGACACTGGGAAACGGCTTTTCTTGATGAGCATGATGAGCAGAATTCAGACCAAAGGCGTGCTAGGTAGTACGTCAACGTGCTAGCACAACTCTACTGCCAGGACTGTGACGTCAAGCAGCAGTGCACAACTGCCCAAAGATGCCGCAGAGGACAGCCAAGGGTACATAGGTCCAAGGCTCATCGAAAGGTTGCTCTCGATCAAGATCTGTGGGCCACGAGGTCTGATTTTTGGGAGAGCTAACAGCTACCCCCTCATGAACGCTTTCCAAGGCGCTAGCTCATGGTACAGCAAGGGCTGAGGAGGCGCTCGTGGCAAGTCGCCAATGCTTTTCAGACCTGACTTGGCTGGCTGTTGAGACAGTCTCACCCTAGGACTAGGTGTAATGCTATGCAATACTCAAGTGTTTGATCTTTGTCATGTTTGTGAAAGAAATGTGCCATTGACATAGCTTTCTGATAGTGACTGATTGTCAGTGATTGTTCATTTGCAACTCCTGGCAGTCTGAAGGCGATTGACATGGCCGTTGCCAAGTCCCTCCATCGTTCTGGCAGATTCTATGGGCTCACGTTGTTCCATGCCTGACGGAGAGGAGGTTCTTTCATATCAAGCATAAACGGTGTGCTTGCGTAGATACAATTTGACAGGCAAGCATAGATCCTGCAGCTTGTTTCAGGAAACAAGAAACAACGTATATAACACATTATAACACCGTCCTCTAAGCACAGTATGTTCCTGGTTGGCAAGACCCTGACCTTGAGATTGAGTGAGGTTGCCTAGAATCTAGAAGCTAGGCCTTGAAAGAAGAGGGTCTATCAGTGAATGTTTGCATCACACGTTTGAGGCTGAAGGACGCTGTGAGCCCCAAGATGGTGACGCTTGCCTGCAAAATTGCTGACACTGCAGGTTTCTGCTGCAGGCGCAGGAGGCACAGGGCTCGGCTTCAAAAGAGCCGGTCGTTTTAAAGATGTTTCCACGCAAGGCGCCCTGTGCGACCACAAGTTGTTTGGCCTAGGATTCAAAGCCACATGTCGTATATTATGAATCAGGCTTTGGAATTCAAGGCAGGCCCTACTGGGTCTCCCAGACATTTAAGGCAGCTGATGCGAGCAGACAGTTTGAAGCTTCACAGCCAGGGCAGGCTGACCCCGTCAGGTCAGCTGTTCTTGGGATCTTGGGTTTGCGTCGCCCGTCTTTTTCACATCAGAATTGCATTTCAGGGTGCGCCTCAAGTTGTGACCAAACCATGAATGTACTAGATTCAGATCCAACATGATGGGAAGCAGTCAAAGGGTGAGAAGTTTACAGTGCTTGCTGAGATGGTGATTGTTTGCCTGCTACATGGTGTTAGTGTCAGGTGATCCGGATGAGCCGCAATTGCATCTTGGTGGCACGTCATCATTGTTCTGCTGTGTCGGCTCCCTCTCCCGCATTCAAGGTCAGAGCAATACAAGAACCTTGGCAAGGATCAATGTGTTGTCATGCGTGCGCGTCGCTGAATGAAGAAAAGGAACAAGGACTCCTGCAGTAATCAATGTGTTGTCAGCAGTCTTCCCAGGAAATATCTTGGGAGCCTACCTGTGCTGACCATTCTGAGCCCACAGCAAGCAGCGGATGATGGCTTGCTGGGGTTGGCATACGGAGGCGCTTTCCTGAGCGGTTGCTTGGTCACATCAAGGTTGTGCTGGATGTGGCTGTCACTGAGTAGCAATCCAACAATCCAAGCAATTACTCAGCCAAAGGCCTTTGCGCACAACTCAGCGAGCTTGCTGGCAAGCGATTGGTTCCTGGGACACTGCAGCGACTTGACCTTGGCAATGATGCCAGTTGGTTTCGATGCCATTTGGTGCACTGAGTGAACATGCGATTCAGATATGCATGGGAAGCAGCCAACAGGTGAGACATGATAACACCAAAGAAGCTGCCGTCATGTTTGGCCATGCTTGGGAGGCTGGCGTTATATGACGGAGAAGGTGTTGCCTACCAAATCCACGAGGAGACTCGTGGAGACTCCGATCGGTCGTCATCGCCACGATCGCCACATTTTCGGATGCCGCCAGGACTATGTCCCGAAGGCTGACTATGACCCAGAAAACTTACCGGAGCACCACCGGGAGTCATACAAGCGAAGAGTCACAGCCATACTGCCGAGGCCTAAGTGGTGGCCTGTTCCTGTTAAAGAGGCTTCAAGATCTTGAAGCCCTTTTTTACATGTTTCTTGTGAAAGCATGGTGCTACCGCTGCACCCACACGCACATTGAACGCATTGAAACCAGAATTGTGTCAGAGATGCTTGGATGATCTTGGATATATAGATGGAACTATCAACATTGCCTTAGCATTGCTTTTGTAAGACGAAGCGAAGCCGGCGAGGTACTTGCAGGATGACTGGTCAGAGGAGCTCGGCGGTGCTTTCCGAGCACATGCAGTTCGGCCAAAGACAGAAGCTTGGGTTGCGAGAGCAGGTTCATTTTCTCTGACCAAGCTTTGTAGTAGGTTGGAGGCCATCGCCAGCAATCAACTAACTTCAAGCAGCGGAGTTTCTGGTTATCGCATTTGGACTTCTGCAGCGAGCTAAGGACACGCCGAAACCAGAGGATGTCATAGAAGTGATGCCAGTTCCATGGATGAAATCAGAATCTCGTTCAATTGTGCCTTTGTCTCGGCTTGTGGCCCTTTTGTCAATAGGTTTGTGTTGCTACTACCATTTTTGGTAGGCACACCCACTACTAAATGCAAGTCATCCGACATGTCCATATTTCCAATCTTATCCATGGGACTTCTTTTGACTGACAATGACTCTTCCACGGTAGAAAAGGACACCAAAGGAATCCTAAGGGTGCTTCCCACTTTGCAGACTATCCAAATGAAGTGATTCGTCTTGCTGTACTACTGACTTGGTATCTATTGGTCCTTTGCGGTTTGTTGGAACTTCAGGCAATTCGTCGTTCTCGGAGTAGCCAGCCCGTGACTCACGTCTCACGCCAGGAGGGAGGATCCCTGATCCTTTTCCGCTCTGATATGCCGCATGAAGTTCTCCCAACCTATGGCCAGCGGTTTGCGCTGTCTATGTGGTGTCATGCTGCATAAAAAGTGCGCGCAAAGGTTGAGACTATCAAAAAGGCACAGAATCACACCTTAGACTAGAGGCACCTGTGGCAGATGCAAAGGCTCGAGTCGAGCACATGACAGAATGACAGCACCTTCGAGGGAGCGGGTAGAATTGATTATATGATTCTACGGCCCCGTTAGATAAGAAGCTTCAATGTTACGTTGATTCCGCAGTGTTTCTCTTCAAGCTGGACGTTGGATGGTTCGCTGCCGCCTGTGCTTAACCTTTGAGCACGAGCCAGGTGCAGTCAGCTGTTCAGGTTGCCGATCCATACGGAGGATCCGCGACTTGTACTGTGGAGGGTTCTTGGTCAGAACCCAAGAGAGCCGTGGATTGGAGATCCTACGGTCGTGTGTTGGTGCCCTCACTGACCTGGCAGAGGAAGCAGCACCTATCCTAGAGAAGGAGCGGCAGGAATCAGGACCATCCGAAGCAGCTACTGCACCCAAAACTGCTGGACCCCTCGGGGAGCCTGTGGCCCCTGTCGTTGGTCGGTTGCTTGAGTCAGAGAAGGAGGCCGCGGAGTTCGTGAAGACCGAGGAGGACGAGAAGAAGGACGAGCAGACAACCCCCGGGGTAGGGAAGCTGCGAACAGAAGGTGTTGAGACTGAGGTCAAAGCAGAAGGAGAGGAGCCAGCCAAGCCCAAGAAGAAGAGGAAGAGAAAGCATATAAGCCGAGGCCCTGAGCAGAAGGACCGAAAGCGGCGAAGGAGAGAAAAGAAGGCAGAGAAGGAGGAGACCCCCGCTCCTGAGGAGGGAGCAGTTGAAGCAGCGGCGGAAGAGACAGCCGTTGCAGAGCCCCCCCCGGAGGTCCCAGCTGAGGTACCGCCCGAGGTACCACCACCTCCACCACAGGTACCAGAACGGCGAGGACCCCTTGGCCTTGTACCGGCGCCGAAAGGGTCGGTCAGCAAACATTTCAACCATTTCCAGTACTTGCCAAGACCGCCATCTCCGCCTAGGAGACCCAGGTCGCCGAGCCAACCCCCACCAGGGTATCACAGCAGTGACACTCGAGGCCGACGCGGACCACCATCGAGGTCGAGATCATACTCGGAGGCAGGCCCTGAGAAAAGGCGAAGGGAGTCAAGCATCGGGAACGCGGTATTCAACGCCGCCTTGCAGGGTTGCAATAGCAATGGCTCCAAAAGCCAGAGCAGAGGGGAAAGCCGCCGCCAAGGCCAGAGCCCGAGGAGTGATGTTGAGGCCAGCCGCCAGAGGAGTGTTGAGACGGCCTGTTCATGGCCCGCTGGACGGAGCTCCTGGTCCTCGGGAGCTCTGGAAGGAGGGCAGCGAGGTTGCAGTCCACGAGATTGGAGTCGAGGACATGGAGATCGGCTCCTTCATCGCCTTCACCGACGCCTCATACTACGGAGCCAAGATGAAAGTGGCCGGCACTTTGAAAGGGGTGGATGTGCAGTCGGAAGCAATTCACTACCACCTCAACGTGACGGGGACGACATCAGAAGGCCTGCTCAAATACCAGAGCGGGAGACCAGGGACCACGATCAGGATTCACCGTTGCCCGACCACGTGCACGGGCGAACGCATCGCGGAGGACCTGGTGCATGGCCTGAGGATGCAGCGTCCTTCACGGCTGGGAGGAGAAGAGGGTTGGATGCGAAGTCTCGAAGCAGTCGACCCAGTCGAACCAGGCATGGACGAGCTTGGCGCCTTGCGTGCTCGGGACGCCGGTTTGGCTCCTGTTCGAGGAGATCATCCAGACGATGGAGGAGGAAAGGCCGCCGAGGACAAGGGCAAGCATCGGAGCCCCAGCCGAAAGAAGGAAAAGAAGAAAGAGAAGAAGAGGAGCAGAGGCAGGAGCTCGAAGAAGAAAAAGAAAGGGAAGCACCGCAGTCCGAGCCCGAAAGACAAGGAGGACAAGGCCGAGAAGGCCAAGAGCAGCAGGAGGAAGAGGTCGAGCTCTACCTGCAGCAGCAGATCCGCAAAGCTGGATGGAAGACAACCCCGTCTTGCATCCATGAAGGACTACGACAACCTGTTCGCGGGGACAGGGTTGGACAGGAGAGAAAAAGTTCGACGAAGAGTTCTTCATCGTGCCAAGAAAGCTGCAAAGCGCAAGACCAAGGACAAGTCGAGTTCCGGGAGCGGAAGCTCCTCGTCGAAGGAGACCAGCGACTTTGGCGAGGAGGTGGAGGACACACTCTTGGAGGGGGAAACAAAGATACAACGGGTAGCCCAGAGGGCTCCTGATGCGTTGGCATGGCAAGCCCTCACAAAGATGCGTGCCAACCTGTTGCAAGAAGCGGGAGCCGAGCAGAAGGGAGGCTCCTTGGGACCGGTGGCCATGCTCTACATGAGGCAGCACGTCCAGAGGCGGGCCACAGGGCCGGCCGCCAGGGAGCTCTTGACGCTTGCAATGGCTGCAGACATGATGTTGAAAGCAAGGCCCGCCAAGGCCCTCGACGTTTTACTGCAGAGAATGAAGGCGGTAGAAGCGGGACTCATGGGAAGTCACTGGTCAGTGACACAACGATTGGAAGTCGGGCCGGGCGACTTGTTGAGCATGACGGGACAAGAGGAATTGGTTTCAGCGCAACGTGCAGCCCACACCGAAGCACGGACCCGCATGCTCGCATCCTACCCCGAGGGGCGAGCGAGGAGCGGGAAAGCAGACGGCAAAGGCAAAGACAAGGGTCGCGACAAGGGCAAGGGAAAAGGAGGCAAGGAGAAGGGCAAGACTCACCCCAAGGAGGATCAGCAGAGCAAATGAGGACTCCTGGTGACGGGAGTGCTTTGAGGAAGAGTATGACGGGATGCATTGAGCAGCCGGGAGACGGGACTCCTGTACAGGTTGGAGACCTGTGTGGAGCACTGGGGACCGGTGCTGTCGAGCTTGAAGGGAGCTTGAAGGCTGTGGTAAATCAGCCTGCTACGATGTCAACCTTGTTGGGAGACAGGGCACTACGATCCTTTCCACCGATGCCCCCGCCATTTGTGAGCGAAGAGGGTAAGGTGAAGGCGCCTGACGCCTTTGAGAAGTCAGCGCAAAAAGAGAGCGAGAGTGTGAGTTTCGTCGGTCGACCTATCTCGGAACTCGGGGGACTACTAGTTCGTTGGTTCATGGAGGTTTCACCACTTCGCAGCCAGTCCACGGGCAGGGGAATCAGTAAAGCTGTCTTTCCTTTGCCCACCTCCATTGAGCTTTTTAGGGACTTGTGGCCGTCCGGGTCCGAGCAGGTTTGGCAGTGGATGGTGTGTGTTTGCAGCGGGTTGAATTCGTTTTGGGGAGGACCCCCTTGCAACGTTTCAAAGGCTTCAGAACTGCAAAGAAAGGTGATGAGGGGGCTTTACATTGAGGTTGAACGCTTTTGTGAACTTGGATTGAAGAGCGTGGGAGTTGATTGGACAACGGTTTTCGCTGTTCGGGGAATAGATTACAAAGGTGAGGAGGTGAAGGTCGCAAAATGGGTCACATGGGCAAACATCGGGCCGGCGCTGCCAAAGGAGATTGGGGCAGTGCCGCTGGAAGAGGTGTGCTCCTTGGGATGTCGGGAGTATGTTGAGTCGTTCGATCGGTTCCTCAAGCCTTGCAATCTTTGGGGTAAGGTCACACAGCCCAAGGTCATGGTAGAGGATGCTGCCTGGGGTGAGATGCGTGCAGGGCTTGTCAAATCGGGTGTCTGCTGTTATCTAGAAGAGTCGGAGGTCTTCCATATCGGGAGTACCCCCCTCCTGAACGGACTTTTTGGCGTTTCTAAGGAGGAGTGGACACCTGAGAATGTTGAGATTTGCAGGTTGATTATGAACCTGGTGCCATTGAATGAGTTGTGTGAACCCCTCGGCGGAGATGTTGACACACTCCCTTCATGGGGCACGATGAATCCTTACTTCCTCCAGCCCAATGAGAACCTGTTAATCTCCTCCGAAGATGTGAAGTGCTTTTTTTATACCATGCAGGTGCCACGCTGCTGGACAAAGTTCTTGACATTCAACAAGGTTGTTCCCGATCATGTCTTGCCACCCGAACTTCAAGGGCATACCACCTACCTCGCGTCAAGGGTCCTACCTATGGGGTGCCTGAACTCGGTGAGCATTGCACAGCATGTCCACAGGAACCTGGTACGTTGGTCAACGGTGGAAGGTAGGGCTGCGCACGTGGATGAAGCCGAGCTGCGGAAAGATAGGAGCTTCACCGTGGCTAACCCTTGTTGGCGTGTTTACCTAGACAATTATGACGTTCTCGAAAAGGTAGAGGCAACTGGCATGGTTGAAGTTGAAGGAACGGTGCCGGGAGGGATTCTGGCACTGCGCCAGGAGTATGAGCGATGGGAGATCCCGAGGAACGAGAAGAAAGCAGTGGAGCGTTCATCCAGGTGTGAGCTTCAGGGCGCAACTGTCGACGGACTCCGTGGAGTGGCCATACCCAAGGAGGCAAAGCAGGAGAAGTACTTCAGCCTGGCAATCACCCTGGTGCAGCAAAGAAAGGTCAGTCAGCGCCAGATGCAAGTCGTGTGTGGTGGACTAGTCTACTTCTCCATGTTTCGGAGGCCAATGTTGGGTACGCTCAACGCCGTTTGGCGCTTCATTGAGAGCTTCAACAATGTGGAGGCGAGGTATCAGGTCCTGCCGCATGAGTGTAAGTTGGAACTCATCAGGTACCTCTGCCTTATGCCGCTGGTCCGCATGGACTTCCGCACGGAGGTGCACCCGATGGTGACGTGCTCGGACGCATCACTGAGCGGTGGAGGAGTCTGCTGCTCGTCTGGTCTGACTTCGGTGGGCACCATGGCCGTGGAAGGTGGTCTGCGGGGGGAGAGACCTCAGCCCCTGGACTCGTTGCAAGTGGTGGTAATAGGACTCTTCGACGGGATTGGGGCGCTCCGGGTGGCCACTGAGCTACAAGGTGTCTCGGTCCTGGGTTACGTCTCGGTGGAGAAGGAGGCAGCAGCACGCAGGGTAGTTGAGTCCCACTACCCGGGTGTCCTTCACTATGATGACGTAGCAGCGGTGCAGGATGAAGATGTCAGGGGATGGAGTTTAAAGTTTTCGGAAGGAGCACTGGTCTTGATTGGGGCCGGCCCACCGTGCCAAGGCGTGTCGGGTCTCAACGCTGACCGTAAGGGAGCGCTGCGTGACGCTCGTTCCTGCTTGTACGTCCACGTCTCAAGGATTACGCAGCTGGTCAAGGGGCACTTCCGATGGTGCCGAGTGCATACTTTGATGGAGAGTGTCAGTTCGATGGACCAAGCTGACAGGGACCACATGAGCCGTGACTTCGGTGCGCAACCGGTGCACATCGATGCAGGGAACCTCTCGTGGTGTCACAGGCCACGCTTGTACTGGTGCACTTGGGAACTTGTCGAGGGAGAGGGAGCCACCCTAGACACATCACAGTCGGTCACTGTGTGGTGGCTGGTGGCCATGCAGGAGCTGTCGGAGGTTGTTGAAGCAGGTTGGGACAAGGTGGTACCTACTGCATCTTTTCCTACCTTTACAACATCCAGGCCGTCGTCGACCCCCGGAAGGAAGCCAGCAGGGTTGCGTGAGTGTGCTGCTCATGAGCTCAAACGGTGGAGTAATGATCTCCATCGGTTCCCGCCTTACCAATATATGGACAGACATAGGTTGGTCAACCGCCAAGGAGAGCTCCGCGTGCCAACAGTCGCTGAGCGTGAGGTCATGCTAGGTTTCCCGGCTCACTATACGGCAGGGTGCTGTTCCAAAGGCGATCGCAAGAAAGAGGGATACCTGGATCGGAGGCTTACATTGCTTGGCAACTCATCGAGCGTACCGGTGGTTGGGTGGCTCCTAAGCCAGTTGATCTCGCGTCTCGTGGGTGGCACACCCATGACCCCTCAGGAGGTGGTTGATAAGATTCGTCCTGGAACCGCCGAGAGCATCCAGGGGCGGTTGGTCAGGTTGCCCCTGCGTCGTGCCCAACCGGGGGCAGGATCGGAGCAGGAGTTGGCCTTCAAGTTGTGCAATATGGTGAGCGTGAAGGGTGAGGACATATTGCTGACCACTCCGAGTACACAACTGGTTAAATTTCATCGGTTGAGAGCCACCATCCCGGCGAAACTCTGGCGATGTGTGGTGACGGGATGGAAGTGGCGCCATGGGAAGGAGCACATCAACTCTTTGGAGCTCCGGGCGATTCTAAACAGTGTCCGATGGCGTATTGAGCATTGTGGTCACATCAACCGTCGTATGTTGCATCTCACAGATTCTTTGGTATGTCTGCACGCTTTGACACGAGGCAGAACCAGTTCTAGGCGCCTAAGGGCAACTATGTCACGCATCAACGCTCTTGTTCTCTGTTCCAACGCGCAGTTCTTTTGGGCATATGTGTCTACCGACACGAACCCGGCGGACAAGCCAAGCCGTTGGGGCTCTCGTGTCAAGACCAAGTTTAGAAATGCCTCAGCGAATTTTAGAAGGAGGAACAGAACAGGAGCGAGCAAAGATGCGAAAACAACTCGGTAGCCTCAAAGGGCTAACTGTGCAGCCTTCCACGAGGAAGAGATATGACAAAGCGGTCGATGGTTTTCTGCAGTTCCTCAAGTCAGAGAACCTCCACCTTCCTACTGATAGGCGTCGTCTTGACCCGTTGGTTTGTGACTACCTCGAACACCTCTGGTCTGGCTGGCGTGTGACACGCTGGCCGGCTTACAGGACATTCAGCCTGGACTGCGTAACCATATGCCGGCAGCCTGGAGGCTCCTGCGTACATGGCAGCACAATGAAATACCAAGCCGAGCGCCGCCCTTGCCTGAGCATGTCGTGCAGGCGATGGCCGGATGGGCAATTTTTAATAACCACCATGCCTTTGCACTTTCACTGCTGATAGGATACTACTGCATGCTGCGGACAGGTGAAGTCCTGGGCTTGCTTTCAAGTCACATTGATTGTGCTAAAGGAGCTCTCCAAGCTGTTATCAGCTTGGGCTTCACAAAAGGAGGTAAGCGGCATGGAGCCGCTGAAAGTGTGGTGTTAGGGCTCGAACCGGTTGTTCGCCTGGTCAAGGAGTGGAAGAAGGGAGTGCCGGTGGGAGCACCCATGACCTCAACGCCTCCAAAGTGGCGACAGTTGTTCAACCATGCTTTAGAGAAGCTTGGGGTAGCTTCGTTCCAGTTTAGGCCGTACTCGCTCCGGCGAGGTGGGGCCACTTTTTTCTTCCAAAAGCACCAAAACCTTGATAGGATACTTGTACAGGGGCGTTGGCACACACAGAAAAGTGCCCGCCTATACCTCAATGAGGGCCTAGCAGTTCTGGCCCAGATGCGTTTACCCCCACAAGATTCGAGATTGAAGCCTTACTTGACCGTGTACAGGAACTTTCTCTTGCGCCAGCCTTTCCCACACTTGAGCCTCCTGTCGGAAGAACAGGGGGACGTGGAAGGGGACCAATGAAAGCCATGAAGCGAAGAAAATGACCGTTCAATTTTAATTTTTTCCTGTCGACTATTGTCAGGGAACTGCGTCCACCAGTGGTTAGGAGGTGTGGCTCGCCAAATGTGGAGCAGTCGGGGGATCCCACTCACCCCGGGTGTGGCCGGGTGAGATGGGTCGCCCTCCAAAAAGGTAGGGGAACCTTTTGGTCTGACGGTTAGTCGACGATTGTATTTGTTCCTTGGATGTTTTAATGTTGACAATATCGCTGCGAAGTGGATCAAAAGTGAGTTGAACGCTTCTTTATATATATATATATAGCCAATTGGGGGGTATAGAATTGAGTTGCTGAATCAATTATATTCAAGGGTGTTTCTTTTTTTCTTTTGTTTTTACTTTTCTGTTGTTCTGCCATTGCTCCCCCTTTAACATCCTTACTTAACTCTCTTGAGGTTTGCTTGATTCATGAAATTCTGACCTGGAAATCGTTTTCCAAAACGCTTATTCAAACTCAACGATTTCATTGCTCCAAACAATTCTTCAAGGGGGTAGTACACCAGCCCAAGGGAAGTGAATATTATCAATTGTTTAGGGGGTGGGATTAATAAGCAAACTTAGAGCCCCAAGGAAAAAGCTAACTTTATTATATGTTGTTCTGCTATGAATGCCCTTTCAAATCCTACTACAACGACGACGAGGACGACGACGACGACGACTACTACTGCTAGTGCTAGTGCTAGTGCCAGTCCTACTACTACTACTACCACCAATACTACTGCTACTACTACTATTACTACGACTACTACCACTACCACTACCACTACTACCACTACCACTACTACTACTAATAATAACAATAATAAGACTACTACTAAGACTACTACTAAGACTACTACTACTACTACTACTACTACTAATTGTTGTTGTGGCGGTGATACTCTTCAGACCCCCTGGATTGTTTGCTAGGGGGTGTTTATGCTACAGTAATTCAGATCCAACATTAATTAGAATAGTTAGAATTTGACAAGCCAACACTTGCTTCGCAAGACAAAGTCGACCTTCTTTCGTGAACTGCCACAGCGACCATCATTTGATCATCGAATCAGCATCAGATCAGCCGATCGTCAGATCAGCTATCATCAGACTAGCGGATCATCTGATGAACATCGGTTCGATCGATCAGCGGATTATTGCGGATCATCGGATCAGGCAGACCAGCGACGATGGACCATAAGTCCAAAAGCGGTGGCAGATGATGGCCGATGTTTGCAGATCTTCGCAAGCAGCACCTTTGAGAGCCACCTCGAGCTGACTAGCAATTGCTACACCACACCACACCAGTTCATGGGGGTTTACTGGGTTTTGGAGTGGTAGGCGCTGATTACGGTAGTTTTAGTCCTGTTAGTATGCATGATAAAGGATCAAATTCTGAGAGGCGTCCGTCTGAAAGAAGGGTCATGCGATGTGGTGCGACACTGTTCTCCAAGCAACTGTGACACTCGATTTTCTTGCAGATGCTGGCATCACTTGCTCCCGAACCCGTACAAAAGGGTTCAGTCCGTTTTTAGTAATCATGCCGGAGAAAAAACACTTGCCGCATCTTCCTGGCTGTTCACTAAGTTGTCCGTCCCATGCACTCCGCCCTCCAACCTTCCTACCTGTCGTGCCTCCCCCTTGCTCAAGCACCCTCAAGTGCCAGCAAAGGTAGGCTCGGACGCATTGGCCGTCCTTAGCTTAGCAGTGGCAGTGTTGGATCAGCCATAGCAGCGCAATTCTGTATGTCAATCTTTTTGACCAGCTCCATTCTGGTTCAGCGATGCGGCATGGATCCACTGCAGAAAATGCCTCAGCCAAGAACTCGATTCAACAATAAAACAATTCCGGCGGGGGTATATATACATTTATTTATATTCTTATTTATTTACAGTATATACACATGTGTTCACCTGCTTGAGAAATATGCAATTTGACCTTTACAGAGGATGAATGGGATTTCATGATTTCATGACATGTCGGGTGAGCTCTTTGGGCACGCTCCTCAGTGCAGAGGACCTCCGAACAGCACGGCATTGCATTTGAGTGTGCAGAAGGGTTTACTGAAGTTTACTGGGCCATATGATTAGGATTGATTACAGTAGGTATGAACCAAGGCCTTACTGCGCTTACTTCAGCCATGTTAGCTGCCCTACTGAGTCCCCAGCTTGCAAATCCAGGAGAGCTTCAGCCTCCCACCAGTGAGCGATCATTTGCCCCAAGCCTTTCGTGTGGTTTGGGAGACCGGTCATGCCGTGGAGATCCTGTCGTGGAATGTGATGGCCCGAGGCGGGTAGAAATCAGTCCCTGTGATCAGCCCCTAGTAGCGTCCTTGCTCCTAGTAGTACGGCCAGGAGCCCCTAGTAGCTTCTTGTTCCTAGTAGCGATGCCAGGAGCCCCTGGTAGCGTCCTTGCTCCTAGGAGTCTTAGACTTACAGGAGGCTTCTGGGACGCTGAGTTGAAAGGTAGAGCCTGCAGAGTAAGGTCTCCACCTGCACATTGTGTGCGGTTTTTTTTCTAATAAGAAATCAGCAATGTTTACAGTGACAGTGCATGGCTTCAATGCCAGAAAGATGTCCCCAGCAAGTCTTCGACCAAAGCCAGTAAGACCTCAAGGAGCAATTAATTGACCTGTACCGAGCGACGGCCTGACCAGATCCAGAACATTGTTTCGACGTGCCACGCTCTATCAGCAGTATGGAATAAACATAATGCTGAAAATGTTCCATCCCCAAGACAAGCGTGTTCAACTGCTTGTCTCGCCGGTCACAATGAGTGTCATGGCTTTGTGTAGGAGTGTCGGATGCATGTCGCCTTTGGTGTACGACCCTTTGACATACAGTATTTCTTCCATCTCACGTCCTTTGCTGTTTTTGGGGCCAGGCCGGGCAGGTGCAACTGGTCGTGCTGGAACTGCCTTGGAAGGCAAACGGCTAACGAACAATGGCTTGGACTGTCACTCACCCAGACACCAGACAACTGTGTCGCGCAACCAACTTGACAGTTCACCTTGTTGTGCATGTTTGTTGGCAGCAGCCGTTCACATGAGGTGATGAAACACCAGACAGCTACAAGCAGCGCTTGAAGGAGCGAGTGCTGCCAGTCCTTCAGAGATGGCTAGAGCAATCCGGCACATGCCAGAGGGTTGCATGCCACTTGGAGAGATGATGAGGAAAGTCATGAGCCTCTTTGTTATCTTGACTATCCCTATGGAACTGGGGTGTGATGCCAAAAGGGAAATACTGATTAAATACTATGAGCCTCGGAATTCTGGTGTTGGTTCGTGAGGCTTGCAGGAATTTCCAGTGCAGCCGTTGCTGCAGCAGGACTGGGGTCTGGTGGGAGCGTACAACGGTCCGGCCTGTGAGAGATGCCCAGGAGTTCCTGTCAGACCTACGCAGCAAGATCCCGTGTTTGCAAATGGCTGTGGGCAGCGCATGGGAGGTGGAGAGCATGGACTTGCCCAATGCATGCGTTTTACAGCTCGTTGTTGAGGCGGGCTTTGCTCAACTTGCCACCCACACCAATGCAGTGGAACCTCAGCTCAAAACCACGGTCTGATGACAATCGAGACAGACAGGCAGGGAGGGTGGCAAGCAGCAGGCAGACAGAAACAGAGACAAAGACAGAGACAGAGACGGCCAGGCAGAGGGAGGGAGGGGGAGAGGGAGAGAGAGAGGGAGAGAGAAGGAGAGGGAGAGAGAGGGAGAGAGAGACAGAGAGAGACTTCTCAAGACCTGAGTTCGCGATTTGTGAAACAGGGCGAGCCATTCACAGTACCATACCAGGTCAGAGAATTTGGTTTGGCTGAGGTTTGGGACAGCTCTTTGTGTGAGCGACCTTCCCAGGCAACTGGTCCCATGCGTCACTGGAAGACCAAGCGGCGGTAGGCTGTTTTCAGAGGGTAGGAGCAAGATGCACACCGACAACATGCCAATTCTTTTCTGAGAGCTACCTAGAACAAGTTGATCAAAGCAATCTAAGAAGGCTAATGTGAAGCGGTTGCCAATCCCATGCCCTGCCAGCGATGGTTCTCCAGGTGCCAAGGGGCCCAGAAGTCCTTCAGCTGGCTCTGAAAAGTACAAAGCATACTTTCGACCTGATGAGACACTTGGAACAAATGGAGTTCATGGCATGCAACATCATGCAACTACGTGAGAATGACTTGGATGGATTCTGAGAATGACTTGTGCTGCAGCATGTCTTTTGTAATTGTGACCAATCGAGCGTGGGGTGGAGGAAGTGTCCCCAGCTGAGGTTTCCACTTGCCATTCAAAGATTCACCAGGGGGCGCTAGGTATAGCCACCAGGCTGCGATAGCATGTGGAGCTCTATCCATGCTTTGAAGGACCACAGAGACATGCCAGTGTTGCTTCAGCTTCGCTGTAAACAGTTTAGAATCCGTGAACCAATAGAACCCTGGCCCTGTCAGTTTTATTGAGCCTTCTGGGTTGCCAAGTTGTTTACACGTCATTAAGGTGAAGGCGTGAAAGCAGCTACAAGCTTTTTGCGGACATTATCGAGGGACACTCCACGGCCTTTGATTGCTGCTGGTGATTTCAATGTCCAAGTGGCTTTGCATTGAAAAAGAGGCGGTGACATGTCCCTGCTGAAGTTGAGCAGCGCTGCTGAGGTCAATGATTTGGAAAAGGCTTTTGGAATCTCGGACTTTGTTGGAGTCAGTTCGGGCCGACAGGCCAGCATGACACACTCGGTGCCAAGTGGGCAGACAGAAACAACAGCCAAGGTGCCACTGCGATGGCAACACAACACGACTCTGCAGTTTTTCGAGGGCAAAGACTCTCCGTTGATGCTTGTGTCGCACTGCCTGGCCTCGAGGCCCCTGCGATCCGAAGAGAGCGCACTGGCAAAGGTCACAAGCAGAATGGTTTCAACATGCACATTGTTGTAGTACCGTTGATGGGTGAAATCTTGCATCAATCAGACGGCGCATGTGGGTTTCCAATGTAACGCGCACAACCCGCACACCCCAACTCAATGCTGTGTCATGTTTAGGATTGTGATGCAAGATTTTGGTCATTCAGCCTTTGATTTGTTTGATGCAGTTGCTCAACTCATGATGTTGACAAGGAGCCTGAGGGTATATATATATATGTATATATGGAGTTGTTCTGCGTGGTGCAGAACTTTGTCCATCAATCGTATCTTGTTGAATGATCAACAGATTCTAGAGTCAGCCAAGGGTCATTCCCAGGTATTTTGTCCTCCTTCCCGCCTACTATCGTTTGCCAGTGTTGGAAAAGAGCAAACAGCCAGAACTTGTTCTATCCATGCTAGGAGCCGTCAACAAGCCTGATGCCTTTGGTCGAAGACTCAGGTGGGACGCCAAGTTTGCCCAGTCCCGGTCTATAAGAGCCTAGCTGTTTGTTTAATATATCTTCCGGATTCTTTCTGCTCAGTCGGAGTTGCTTAAGCAGTGTAAAGCACTTGACAACACTGTACATGACATGCCAAATGTATGAGAAAATATGAGAATATGCTTATGTGTAAGTTTTTGCATGTGCCAAAAGACTGCATTTTGGAGGGAAGTGAGCCAGTTCGTTGATTGAAGGCGGCCTTTTTTGATTGTTGGTCAAGCATGTACCTCTACAAGTGATCAGAACTTTGTTCTCCGATGTCCCAAATGCAGTCATTGTGTTTAAAAAATAATCCTGTCAACCCCCCTGCTTCCAAAGGCTATCATCCTTTCCAGCTCTTGCCCCTTTTCAGGTGGTCTGTGGCGGCCCTCCGAGCTGGAACTTTTCGGGCCTGAGGGCCGGGATGCCTTCATCGAGAAATACGCAGCCAGTCAGTTGGGGGTGTCAGGATGTCACACACAGAACGACAGGCACATTTTGGAGTACTGGGAGATTGCTCCTGGATAGCAACATGTTCATAAACGGTCCATTTCTATTTTAGGGGCCCAGGTTCGCGCGCTCCCAGAGAACGAGTTGAGTGCCCCAGACAATGAAGAATGACTCACCCTGTTTCGCAATGACACTGTTTGTGGTTTTCTTGAAGCCGGCACCCCAACAAAATGGTGTCCTTTTGCAGGATGTGCCATGCAAATTTGGATTTATGACATTTGTGTGGCAGATTTGCTATAAGGATCTAGATTAAATTTATCCCTTTTTGGGTTTTCAATTCTAGGCTCGTCTAGATTAAAACTACATTCGGTCAAGTGACCATAAATTTTGGTCATATTTTGGTCGTGCCCATTGAGGTTGCAAAAAACCTTCACGATGATCCGCGGCTCTGGCGGCTGAGCGACACGGCTGTGGCTTCGCTTGGATGCTGGCCTTTTGCTGAGCAACCACGAGAAGTGGCAAGGCGTTTTGCTTGGCAACCTGTAAGTTTGTCATCGCTAGTAGGTTGGAGGCCATCGCTAGTTGGTTGGAGACCATCGCTTTTAGGTTGGAGGCCATCGCTAGTACTTGCTATGAAAGGCAAATAAAGAACGGCAAACATTCTCAACAAAGTCAAATCTAGAAAGGCTGTTGCATGGCACGCGGAGCCAAAAGAAGCGGAAGCTGGACAACCCGTTGCTTGGCACAATTGTTGTTAATTACTCTGACTCTGGTGAAGTGAGCCCCCAATGACTGCAACCGGAATTTGAAGCTAGTTCTGGCGCTAATGACGCTGAGGTGACTGAGTGACTTGGTGCGAAACATGTGCTAGTAGTATCTGGTAGGAATGCCATTGTAAGTGCTTGTTTGTGGGATGTGGCAGTTGGATCTGGGGCTCCAGGTGGACCTGGAAAAAGCCCAACTGCCGAACTTGTGGCAGGCCCTGGGCAAGCACCTTTCGTCACACTGGCTGGCTGTTCCCTGGAGAGGAGGAATGGTTGGAACCATCTCCTCCTCCCAAGCGCCAAGCTATGGGTGGCAAAGGCAAGGGCAAGGGACAAATGGCAGCCCACGGCCCCCCAGTGAGCGCCAAGTGCGGGATGATGGACTTCCCTCGTCACCCCCACTTAGCCGAGAGCGTCAGGCCATTCGGGCCAATTTGCATTGGCAAGAGCTGGTCAAATCTGCCCTGCGTGCGCATTGGCCGGCACTCCCTGATAAGCCCTGTGAGGAGCTGGATTCCCTCATGTTTGAGTAAGGCGTCACTCCCACTGAGCCCAATGCCCAAGAGATCACTGGTGCTTTCAAAGCAACCACTGGCAAGCTCAAGACCCTGGGCATCCAGAAAGCGGCGTTGGAAGGCCGCAGTGACAAAGCCAAAGCCAGCCTTGAAGCCTTGTATGGCAGGCAGCGAGAGTTGGACCAGGAGCTGGCTGATGCCAAAGATAAGGTTTCAGATCAATATTGGACGGCCGTCCTTGGGATGGAGGCCAAAACAGAGCCAGAAGTGGGTGAACCCACGGGACAATCGGAGGAGATGTTGGATCACGGAGACAATCTCACCAATGAGCAACGAGGAATCCTGCGGCAGCTCCTGGGACCGACTAGGGCTGACAAGCGCCGGAAGGTTGCTTCCTCTCCAACCGCCAGCCTTGGCTGCTGGATGTTGAGAAAGTGCCCTTGGACGGGACACAGGCTAAAGCAGCTCCCTCTTCCCCTCCTCCTCGCCTTTAGCCTGCCATGGTTGCTGCGAGAAGCCCTAGGTGCGCTGCCAGCCGCGAGCCTTGGTGACCTCGATAGGAAGCGGGGTGGATTAGAACCTACGGTGCATAATGAGGCTACGGAGACTGGCGTGAACTTTCCTAGTTTTGTAAACCCAGGCAGTTTTGCCACAATACAGCTGAAGACGGCCAATGTAACCAACTATAATGCTGCAGTAGACAGTTGGTTGGATGTGATGGCTTGGTCCTCCATCTTCAAGAAAACTCATCTCGATGAAGAGCAGACACAGCAAAAGCAGAAAGTGCCCTCTGTCAAAGACACCATCAAAGACTTGGGCGTCGATAATTCCTTGGCCAGGAAGAGGCATTTGAAGACTCACAGCACTAGATTGTCGCGGGGTGGTAGGAGACTCCAAATGATTAAGAAATTGCTTGCGCAAGCACGGCGCAAATATGTCAGCATGTCTGCTGCGCCGGCTGCCCTGTGGGGGCATATGGCTTTAGGGGTCCCCCCAAATAAGCTGAAAGCTTGGCGTTTGTCCGTCGCTCGTACTCAGCATTGGGTCGGGTCGAGGATGTCTTGCCATTGCTATGGCCTTTAACTGTCATCGTGAACATGACCCTCTTTACCTTATGCGTGTTGAACAACTTAAGATGTGGGTTGAGATTGTGAAACGCTCGGGCGCTCTTGCTTTGCATGCTTTGACTAGGGCTTGGGATCTCTCATGGCACGAGTTGCTTCAAGTGACACCCAAGCTGTTCTCATGTATTTACAATGGACTGTCCCTGTTCTTGACAAGCGGATTGATCCACAGTTCAGGTTGTGGGACCTGAACTATGAAGATGTTTCCTTACCTTGTGACCTTGAAAACAAAATCGTTTGTAGTATCCAACGCTTGGAAGGCCATGTTGTTGACTCCCAGTTATGTTCGAAAATTCCCAGTTGCAGTGGTGCCCCTTTTGTCCCACTCAAGAATCAAGAACGCACTTGGCATCATATGTTCTATGAATGCCCTGGCTGCATTAAGAAGCATGGGGAAGTTCTTGCTGTGTGGGCGCCGTGTTTGGGTCAATTTGGCATGGAGCATTTCCGGTGCCGAGGGCTGGTTCCCCGACATTGGAATATTGCCCCGCCTATTGCTGATGAGGGTTTGGTCGCTGTTAGCATTTTTCATGACCATAATGTTGGATCAGGTGCCACAATCCTCTTGGGAACTGATGGTTCGGGTGGTCCTTTCAGTGATGACCCCGTCTTCGGAAGTCTGCGTGGGCTGCGGTTGCTCTTCGCATTGGCGGCGATGAGATGTCTGGCGCTTTAGTTGACAGTGATGAAACTTGCAATACTGTCCCTCGAGCTGAACTTATGGCTCTGGTGAGGGCGTTGGCTTTGTCTTGGGGTGATGGGCCTGTCCAAGTTGCCTTTGATGCGTCTTATGCGCAAACTACTTGGAACAAGGTCTCGCGCAATAAGCATGTTGGTAACCCTAATGGAGATCTGAAAATGAGACTTAGAAGGTTGGATCGTCGCTCTGTGGAGCTGTGCAAGGTTTAATCACCCATGAGTCTCCAAGATCACATTGACTTGGGTCGTCCGGCTTGGTCCTGGCATGCTAATGCTGCTGCTGATTCCCTTGCTGGGGAAGCAGCCGTGGCCTTTGCCCCGTATGGAAAAGATAAGGCTAACTCGTTCATTTTTGGATGAGCTTGGCGCTTAAACAAGTGGTTGTTGCCTCGTGTGCAGTCTTGGTTGCGTCAGCAGAGTATCTGCAAACTTCCGAAGAAAAGTGGGTCTAGGTGCACTAAGGATGCTCTCCTGTTGTCTCTCAGAGATAATCCTGTTGGAGGCCATAAGTGGGAATCCTCAGTCAAGGGTTTGTGCTGTTTGCGTTGTGGTACTAAGTTGCCCAAATACAACGTTTGAGTGATCTTGAGGTCTTGGTGCACATCCCTTGTGATGGGATGAGTGGTGTCCGCGGGGTGCATTATACATGCTCATACCATGTATGGTGGCACGCGGAGGACTTGCAATGTCTGCTTTGTTTTGCAGGGCGGCAGATTAGCAAGAAATTGCGGCAACCATGTGGAACCTCCGGAAGGGGCTTGTACAGACGGAAATAGTTTGGGCTGGTGGTATGTTTGGTAAAATGCATAGTAATGCCCTTGTTGCTAGTCAGCTGTCTCATGTGCCAGGCTGCTGACTGCGTACGCGAGTGAGTCAGAGGAGGACTCGACGGAAGACTCGCAATGAGTTCGGCAAAAGAGATTGATGCTGAGCGACGCCGCCTCTTTGATCAGGACCTTTAGCCAAAGGCAATTAGGTCAGACTCAGACATAGTTACGACACACTCGGCACAGGTAATAGAAAACCTGACATTTAACCCCAAAACTACTCTTTCTGGAAAGGACTCAGCTGTTAGCCAGGCCCCGCAAGGATGGAATGAGGATTTGATCAACTGCAAACAGGAGACCATGCCCAGGGAGGTGAGATCGCTGCGCTCCCAGAGTTTAAAGGGTTCGAACATCCAAGGGCCCAAGGGGTCAGATACAGTTTGCATCGTAGAATGCTCCAGACTGACAGGATTCTACTGACATTTTTTGACTCTACAATGTTGACATGCTGTTTGAATTGTAGTGGGACAAGTTGCGGGAGAGCCAACGTGTGCCGGGTGTTTCCGCCGACTTTGATGCCAAGCACGCTTGAGTGCCAGGTGCATCAACTCTGATGCATGTCACTCCCAGTGGTACGAGCTCAATTTGGTTCAGACCTGCAAAAACTAGCGCTATGAGCACAGGTCCGAAGCCAATGCAGACGAGGCCCATTGGGAGCAAAGATGGGAGGTCGCTTTGCTTTCTGCATTTTCACGCAACAATGCCTTAGCCCGGCAATCTTGTCTAGAGTTGAAGACTGTGTTGCAATGGGCAAGCACGTGTAGCAGGATGTGTGTGTGTGTGTCGCGACCCTAATGATGACTTCCCAGAAAAAGGCATTCCGCTTCTGATGGTCGTAGTCAGTAGTTCCCGATTTGATGCAACCACTGGTTGCCAGGACTGGTGTGGTGGTCTTTCAGAAAACACGTTTATAATCGTTTATATAACTTTCATCAGGGGCTGTACAAGAAACCAAACGGCGCATATCAGTGCGCTTGGCACAATATTATATAATGAAATGAACCCAGGAGCCAGGAGCCCAACACTATCCATGCGTGTCCTTTTTTTCGAACCTTCGATTTGAATGTGCGCTGACTGGGCAACCTGACGCCGTTTTGCAGCTGTTATGCTACAGTTAGATTCATTGACGGAAGCCAGCCATGAAATGGCAATGCTGTAGCTCTTGCGAAGGCTGCACTGTCACTGTAATTGTTTGATGGCGACAGGGATTTGATGCTTGGCACAGCTTGGGGACAGCCGAGCACGCGAAGCAATATCCTCGAATCAGTTTCGCGTGACCGTCCGTGCGGATTGTTTTCTTTTTTTTTAAATAGTTATCCTTTGTACTGCTTACTACTGCTTGTATACGGCACGGGTTGGTTGACTGATTGTTTGCCCGCATGGCATGGGACCATGCAAACTGCTTTGCAGAGGCAACTTTCAACTGAGTGATGGCTCAATCTATAAGAGAGTTGATGTTGATGTCCTAAAAGCAGAATCTAATCTGAGAAACAGAGCAGCATGGCTTCAGTGTTCTTGCATTTGTTTAATGGTGTTTTTCCCATGTGTCCCATGGTGCGAAGGTGTCCCGGTTCCTCGGGCCATCTCGTTCCTGAAGCGGAGCAACAAGGTTCTTTGTTCAAGTTGTTTAGATGAAGAAAGCGTCCTTGCTACTAGTAGTAAGGCCAGGAGCCCCTAGTAGCGATGCCCTTGCTCCTAGTAGCGTCCTTGTTTCATTTTAGTATTTTCCCTATTTCCCTACGTCCATTGACAAAAACATGCAATGCATTACTGTTGAATGCCAACCAATCCCTGCCGGTATGATGGTTGCATAGCAGGCGTTATACGGCACACCTCTCCCAGCCAGCATGACATGCATGTGAGCAACTGCTTTTACTTTGCGTATAGATGGAACGTAGCTTGCGAGTGATGCGAGTGGACGCAATTGGTGTGCCGAAGCCACGGTGCCGTGCAGAATGCCAAACATGTGCTCTGATCCACAACGCAAGGAAGGAATCACACATGCACCAGAAACATCAACAAAAAAGGGTAAATTAGCGGTCACTCTGGCCGTCACTCACATGTGTTTTCAATTGTTGAAACGTTGCCCATCATCTTCCAATAGAATCCAGGCAAGTCTTGGAGGTCCCAGCTCTATGTTGGCTGACAGCCTAGGCCTAGGTCGCACAAGTGCCAGTGCTAGCCAATGCATGCAGAGAAGTGTTTGTTTCAGGCGAGGCTCCCAAAGCATTTTGCGCGAAGTTGTATAAAGTCGTGTGAAGTGTGCAGGATTGCTTCAGTGCTTTCTGTGATTTCAGGTGTGCCGGAACGGCGTGCTTGGCAGTTTTCCTGACCTTAATATTGCAAGGATGTGAGGTGGGAGTGTTGAAAACCCACTGCTCAGTCATTCCTGAGAGCAAGTCTTTGGCAGGTCACATGCACTTCTGATCTCTATGGAGTGAGCTCATGTGTGAAAGCCCAATACTGCGCGGACTCCAAGTTAGAATCAAGCTGGAGGAACCTACAACTGGTTGAGGGAGAGAGAGGAAGGGAGGGAGGGAGGGAGGGAGGGAGGGAGGGAGGGAGCGAGAGAGCGAGAGAGAGAGAGAGAGACGTGCAGACTGACAGAGTCTAGATCAAATGAGGTTGTTCGATCCGTTCATTTCACTGGACATCGACCGATGAAATCCCAGTAGCCCAAGTTACCCATGCGTTGCCCCTAAGGCCCTAGGAGTGAGATGCGTTCTAGCATGTTCTAGCAACATGTTGCAATCCAGGATCAGCTGAGTCTCAAGCTAAATATGTTAAGTAACAAGGGCATCGACTAGCACCCATTGACTCAAGCTGAGATCCTTTTAAGTTTGCTTGAACCTGATTAGGTGTGGACTCCAAAGAAACATCCAAGCCGCCCAGGCGACCAGATGGCCAGTTCAGTTCTGGAGGGAATGCCTATTGAGTTGTGTATAGCAGAGTGCCACTTGGCAGTGAGTGGGCCCCCAAGCCCACTCCCAAGCCCATCATCGCATGAGTTTGCCACGATTTCCAGCTTTGGAAACCCAAGGTGGCTATCGGAACTGCACAGCCATTCAACGTGACGCTGATTTGGCATTGATGGACTTGCGCGAAAGAAATCGATAGAATGGATCCAAAATGATGATCAAGGGGAATACCTGATCAACTCTGATGGGCTTACAGGTTCCCTTTTAGTACTGCTGGAGTATGTTCACAAAGTTTCCTGACGACATGGGTAAATGAATAGCAATAAGGATTGCAGTGGTCGATGCTTGCTGATGGAACACTGTGGCCACACGGTGGCCCGGTTGAATTCAGCGACGGTTCGTCCCCAACTGTGTGACTTTGATTGACGTTGTGCTGTGCAGCGTTTGAACACAAACGCCCAGTTTGATTGGACAAGGCACCAACACGCATTTGCAACACCATATATTACCTCGACGTTGAGCTAGTACCTTGGACAAGTTTGGAGCAACTTGGGGCTGATTAATGACACGTTATCGCCAGGACACCTTCTTTGAGTCGCTTGTTTGCTTGCTTTGCTGCATTGTTCTGGAAAGCATGTACCTAAGTTGACTACAACAACGACCACAACAGCATCTCAGCGGCATCTCTTTGAAATGCATTTGTTTTTCACGGCTGTGTATGATGATCAATATACCAGACGTTGCACACAGCCTAATGAAACACAGAGTGCAAAACTGGCCCCTTGACAGCTAGGGTTCCTTGACAGAAGCTCAGATTTCCTTTTTCATCCAAGACAGTCCGGGGCCGTTGCTACAAAGATGCGCCTGTCAACGAGAACTATTTGTGCACTACTCAGAGCATGTGGAGCGTGCCACATGAGTCACTAGACGTGTTGTTTTCAGCAAGCCCAAGTTGAACATGTTTTCCTGCCACTGTAGCTTGCAGCATTGTAGCGAAAAGATGTTAGCAGCACCGACCGGTTGATTTCATGTGGAGGGAGAGAAGTGGAATTCCGAAAATTGGTAAGTTTTAAGGCAACTGCGCAAGGGTTAGACACTCTCACGTGGGCATTGCAAAAGCTGGCAAGAGCAACACCAAGCGATCTCTTGGATGTACTATAGCTGCTACTGCTTTTGACTGCTATATATATGCCAAGCTAGATTGCGCGGTCTTGTTGTTTTTCTTTGATCCGATGATCGGATGATCGGACTCCAACTGTCTTGCGCAAAGAACGAATGGTGAGCGACTGGTTGAATTCTTTTTTGTCGAAGTCCGGAATTCCTTCATTGGACTCCTTTCAGCATCATCAGATTTGTCCACAGGGTGCAACCCTAGCGTGGCAGAAAAGTAGAATTCCAAATGACCAGCCAAGATGAACACCCAACAGCCCAGAAGCTTGGAGGTGGACGGAGTCCAAGGCGGAAAGAAACCACGTACCAGTCCACAGACCCATCCGAAGATTGCGAGACCTGCGCCATCAGCCTCCCGGTTGTTGAGAAGCCACAAGAAGACCAAAGAAGCTTGCTGCGGGCTGAAGTTTGGGCATGGACTCATGGACTTGTTATATTTTTGAGGAGGCTCAGACATGTTTTCAACAAATATTATATAGGTGATGTGATGTCTTGGAAACTCTTCCCGGTCGCCATCATGGCCTACAAGCGACCGACGCGCGACCAACTGAGGTGCTCTCCTACGAGCGCTTGCCGAAAGGTACGCGTTGGTAGGGTTGGCTTCGCTCGACTTCCGTTAGCAGTTTGAAATAAATCGGTAAGCAGACAAAGCAAACACAAAGCAGTTTTGAAATAAATGCTGGCAAACACAAAGCAAAGAGTTGCCGCAAGATACTGCATGTCAAAGAAACTCATGATAGGAATATCAAGTTGGAATCTACATGGGTTTTATGATGCTACAAGACTGCCTCAATGAGTGTGATCTTCGTCCGTTTTGCAGAAGTGTCGAGATGCTTGTTAGCATTAGCAAAGGTTTCCACTTGCAGAAGGCAGAATAGTTGCACAGTTGCAAGGTCGAGTTCATCCATATGATAAGACTACTCCCACCTTGATCCCTATCGGCAATTGACGAAGACGGTAGTGACCCCAACATATTGGTTGCACCAAATGCCAAATGTGGGAGTTGGCGACCAGCGGATCTTGTAGTTGAAATTGGCATGTAAGGGCGTGCAAACAATGGATGTATCATGATGTATCTAGGACTGTACCTTTCAAAGATTGCATTGAAGAGTAAATTTGACCTTACGACTTCGCGTATTTTACTAAAATATGAGAGTGCCAATGTATATGCGTGCACTATCGTGCACTTAGTCACTTAATCCGCTAAAGTCTGAATATGTATGAAGCACCATGTGGCCTGTTCCAAGTAAATCCTGAAATGTGAACGTGATGATCAGAGGATGGCACATGGGTTTTCAAGAATCCTCCATGGCCCGTTGAACAAAAGCCATGGTCGTTTCACGACTGCCACTTGCCGCGTCAAACGCCCTGTGTTTGATACAGACACAGATGTATCTAGCAACCAAGGTACCAGGGCAGCATGCGGCCGCAATGCTGGATGTGGCACACCGACTGCGTGGAGTCACCATCAATCACAGAGGGCAGCGTGTATCACAAAGCCATATACAAGGCCCGGAGTGTCCGTTGCAGGGACAGAAGCATTCATTATATAATATAATTAGTGCGCGAAACCTATCCAAGAAGTGCAATTCACCGCTGTGAAGTTTTGGAAGGGCCTTTGGTTTCTCATGTTCCTCCAAGCTGCAGCTGCGGCTGATCATTTGACAGACTACTGCAACCATGAGCACAACCTCGGAAGTGCCAGCTGCTGCCTTAGTTTGCAGACCAGTTCCTGCTAGAGGAGGAACCCTGAGAGCAACGTCACGAGTGCCCAATCTCCCTCATAGCCGAGGTCGCTGCCAGACAATCGTTTGTTCAAGTAAAGGTACACGCAAACCATCCAAGCAATAATGTGTGGCTGGGTGGCTGGGTGGCTGGGTGGGGGTGTCAAAGGCCCTGAAGATGTGACATATTGGTTCAGTGTTTAGGTTTGAATATTTATATTGCTGGATGTTGCTGCATGTTAAAGGTGCATACTTGCAAGGTCGCGTTTGCAATGACAGCAATCCACCCAAACCAAAAGATTCGACGTGCTAAGTACCACAAATCCTAGGCCCCCTGCACTTAAACCATCTTAAACCCGTGAGTTGGTCATGTTGGAAGACGTTTTGATATGTTTGATATGACTCCATAGCACAGGTTCGATTTATTGTTTGACAATGTTTGACATATACTATTTAGTATTAGTATTTAATATTATACATAATATGTTACATGAAAAAAATGTATAGTATGTTGAACTAAGAACTCCTGATGCACAGTAAGTAGTTTGGAGCCTTGCAACTATATGAAAGCTTTGCACTATTAACTAAACTAACAGCTCGCAAGCCTCACAAACCTTCTCAATAGCTTCAATGACCCAGATACACTTTCAACTGCTAGGCCCTTTGCACTTCGAAAGGATATTCAAGAATACTGAAGCAGGCAATCTCCCAAAGCTACTCGCCGCGTTTCCTGTGGGAAATTAATGATGCCAAATTGTAAGGGCTTCGCCCCGGTGCCGCCGACCCCCTTGCTGCCTGCTGACGTCACCTGGCACGTCGCCTTCGGGAGCCCATAAAACAGTTGCCTGGCATTGCCAGAGGCTCACTCCCAAGGCTCCGGCAATCTGTGTGCCAGCGGCTCCGTCCCAAGGCTCCCGGCTGAGGTGTGCGTGTAGGCAGCATGCAGCCGCAGCGGCGTGCAAGCGGGGGGGGTTTCCGGGGTAGCAAACGACACCATCTATTTCTGCCCACAAGAGCGGTCGGAACGGGGGGGGTGCAGCCAACCAAAATGCCTGACGTCACACCTGACGTCACCTGGCACGCAGCCGCAGCGGCGTGCAAGCGGGTACATCTATTTCTGCCCACAAGAGCGGTCGGAAGGGGGGGTGCAGCCAACCAAATATGCCTGACGTCACACCTGACGTCACCTCGCACGTTGCCTTCGGGAGCCCATAAAACAGTTGCCTGGCATTGCCAGAGGCTCACTCCCAAGGCTCCGGCAATCTGTGTGCCAGCGGCTCCGTCCCAAGGCTCCCGGCTGAGGTGTGCATGTAGGCAGCATGCAGCCGCAGCGGCATGCAAGGGTGGGGGTTTCCGGCGTAGCAAACGACACCATCTATTTCTGCCCACAAATGCCTGACGTCACACCTGACGTCACCTCTGGCACGTTGCTTTCGGGAGCCCATAAAACAGTTGCCTGGCATAGCCAGAGGCTCACTCCCAAGGCTCCGGCAATCTGTGTGCCAGCGGCTCCCAGTTGCCTGGCATTGCCTGAGGCTCACCTGGCACGTCGCCTTCGGGAGCCCATAAAACAGTTGCCTGGCATTGCCAGAGGCTCACTCCCAATGCCTGGCATTGCCAGAGGCTCACTCCCAAGGCTCCGGCAATCTGTGTGCCAGCGGCTCCATCCCAAGGCTTCCGGCTGAGGTGTGCGTGTAGGCAGCATGCAGCCGCAGCGGCGTGCAAGCGGGGGGGTTTCCGGGGTAGCATACGACACCATCTATTTCTGCCCACAAGAGTGGTCGGAACGGGGGGGGTGCAGCCAACCAAAATGTCTGACGTCACACCTGACGTCACCTGGCACGTTGCCTTCGGGAGCCCATAAAACAGTTGCCTGGCATTGCCAGAGGGCTCCGTCCCAAGGCTCCCGGCTGAGGTGTGCATGTAGGCAGCATGCAGCCGCAGCGGCGTGCAAGAGGGGGTGGTTTCCGGGGTAGCAAACGACACCATCTATTTCTGCCCACAAGAGCGGTCGGAACGGGGGGGTGTGCAGCCAACCAAAATGCTTGACGTCACACCTAACGTCACCTCTGGCACGTTGCCTTCGGGAGCCCATAAAACAGTTGCCTGGCATTGCCAGAAGCTCACTCCCAAGGCTCCGGCAATCTGTGTGCCAGCGGCTCCCATGCCTGGCGTTGCCAAAGGCTCACGGCTCCGCCAATCTGTGTCGCCACAGCTTTCAGGGGGGTGCACGCGTGCAGCAAACCAGCGGGTTTCGCAGTGAGAGCTCTAGTTGCCTGGCATTGCCAGAGGCTCACTCCCAAGGCTCCGGCTCAAAAAAGCCAACAGCCCACGGGGTGGTGGCTCGGCCAGGACATGAACCGCCCACGGCTTGGTGGTAGTGCCAGGACATGAAAGCAGAGGTAGAGGATGCCAATGCCAGGACATGAAAGCAGAGGTAGAGATGCCAATGCCAATGTTGCACCCTGCAGTGTCTCGGGCGCCTCCCCGCCTAGGCTTTGGCTAGGCCGGGGTCGGCGGATACCAACGGTTATCAACGTTCAATATGTTTTGAACATGCAGTGTTGAACTCTGCCATGCGCTCATACTTAAAGCATGCCACCGGTATTGCCATTCACCACATTGGTTTGAGTCACGGTCGCCAGAAGCACGACGCAAGTCACCAAGGTACTGTCCTCAACATCACTTCAGCCGGCCGGGTGGGTGCGTTGTTATTGGAGGGATTACTGTAGCTGCCAAAAGCTTCTCAGTTGCTATGCAAGATATTGCCAGTCAGCTTAAAATAACGTTTGTATATATATATATGTGTGTGTGTGTCTGTGTGTGTATATGTATAGAGATCAGAGATCATTGATTAGTTAATAATGGTGATTATGTTGCCGTTCGCTAAATAGACCTTTGAGCCTTTCCACCTTTGTATGTGACTTTTGTGCTTGTCCAGTAGGACTTCTCTGCTACCTGTTTTCCGGGCATTGTGGATGCCGGGACCTACGAGTCAGGAACCCGAGTCCAAATCGAGTTTTCCCAAGTTCTCCCAATTTCCGCTTCAAGGGCATTTGCTATGAGGTTGGAGGCCATCGTTATTGGGTCGGAGGCCATCGCCATATGTTTGGAGGCCATCGCTATTCGGTTGGAGGCCATCCCCATATGTTTGGAGGCCATGGCTATTAGGTTGGAGGCCATTGCTATATGTTCGGAGGCCATCACTATTAGGTTGGAGGCCATCGGTATTGAAGGGTTGGAGGCCATCGTTATTGGATTGGAGGCCATCGCCATATGTTTGGAGGCCATCGCCATCGGTATTGAAGGGTTGGAGGCCATCGTTACTAGGTTGGAGGCAGTCACTATTTAGGTTGGAGGCCATCGCTATATGTTTGGAGGCCATGGCTATTAGGTTGGAGGCCATCGCTATATGTTTGGAGGCCATGGCCATTAGGTTGGAGGCCACCGCTATATGTTTGGAGGCCATTGCTATTAGGTTGGAGGCCATCGCTATTGGATTGGAGGCCATCGCTAGTAGCCGCTAGTAGGTTGGAGGCCATCGCTATTGAAGGGTTGGAGGCCATCGCTATTGAAGGGTTGGAGGCCATCGTTATTGGGTTGGAGGCCATCGCCGTATGTTTTGAGGCCATCGCTAGTAGGTTGGAGGCCATCACCATATTGTTGGAGGCCATCGCTAGCCGTTTGGAGGCCATCGCCATGTTTGGAGGCTATCGCTATTAGGTTGGAGGCTATCGCTATTAGGTTGGAGGCCGTCGCTATTTAGGTTGGGGAGGCCATCGCTATTAGGTTTGAGGCCATCGCTGCTACCTCGATCACCCATTGCTATTTGGTTCGAGGCCATTGCTACTAAGTTGGAGGGCATTGCTTTTAGGTAGGAGGCCATCGCTATTAGGTTGGAGGCCATCGCTATTAGGTTGGAGGCCATCGCTATTGAAGGGCTGGAGGCCATCGCTATTCGATGAAAGGTCTTAGGCATCCTGGAAGTTCTTCGAATGACTTTGCGAAACTCCATTCAATCCGAGGTGCACACCGAGGTCCAGCTGCAGGAATCAGGCCCTAGCTGGCAGGGCAGCCGCAACATCATCAACGGTGTTGACAAATAAAGAGAGGTGAGACATCTTGAACATCATCCTCGTTATGGAACACTTTGGCAAGAGTGAATTGGTCATACTTGTGTGATGAAGATATTTTCTTGAGACTTTTTATTTGGAGCATATTGGAGCCCATGGCCACCCATGAAGGAACAGCTAGTCTTTGGGGCGCTTCCTGCGGCATTCTACTGAAGCAATTCGGTTGCCGTTTGTGCTTGTTGGTCAGGCCAAACCACATCAGCAGTACTGTAAAATAGCTGCCTTGTAAACTCGATTATGGGATACTACAAGCTGCTGACTAGCTTTTGTGGGGCACCTGAGTTGAACAAGATCCCGAGTCCCAAAGAGAGATCTCACGGCTGTGACTGAATTAACCCGGTGGCCACCTCATCACTTCGCTCAACGCCTACTTGGCTTGGCTTAACACTTTGCTGCTTAGCCAGTGGCTTGCCACTTAGCTTGCTCGCATTTTTGCTGCCTCAGCACTGTGCTTGGCCAACTACTTATTGTTTGAATTATATAAATATATATAAATATATGTATTTATATATGCCTCAAGCATTGCCACAGGGAGCGATAAAAATCATTACAGACCCCTAAAAAGGGCCAACAGCTTGCAGCTTGCACCGGACCAAAGCAATGTATGAAATATAATGAAATATATATATATATCCAACTAAGAACCGCACACATGTACCATACACCTTACCGCTGCGCGACCATTGTTTCACGTGTTCCTTACTATCAAGACTCAGCTCGCCATGAACATGTGATATTATGTGGCATGAGCATGTTGACCAGGAATTTGCGAACTATCTCCCAAATGCGGTGTCCTTGCAAGAGTGCATGGACCAGTGTGATGCTGATGACAGCTGCCAGGCCTTCGTGCCGCTTAGCAAAGTCCCAGCTCCACGAGTAATCATGTTCTGAGGTTTTGCAGATCTGTGAGAGCTGCGTTTTTGCCAGAGATGTCAGAGATTCAAAGACTTAAACGCCTGCAAGTTACAAGGTCATTGATTGAATCGGATCGTTGGGATCAGCAGCTTTTGCAGAAACCATTGAGGATCAAACCCGCTCAAAAATACATATATTATATTACATATATATATATATATGTACATGCAACTTTATGTAGCTGCACACCAGCGACCAGGCAACCTTTGCCCGCCAGATTAGGGCACGTTGCTATTTTCATCCCAGATTGAGGCACGAATGCAATGGGAACTGTGCGATGATGATTGACATCGGCTGCGATGGGGATATCCCCATTGGAGTTAATGCACAGTTCCGTGGAGCTTGTGGAAGCGTCTACAGAAAGGCTCCTTTGATGCTCAGTTTTGGCATTGAGATGTTTTGGCAGTGGGCACTCTCAGGCTGTTTGCGTTGAAGTGTGTTTTGTTTTTGGTTACTTTTGGAACGTGTCTTTATTTGACGGCAGTTGCCAATGACACTTGCGTCGAAATCGCCAGGTCATGTCGATGGCCACGACCACGCAGGTGGGGCGGGATGCCAGCATGCCCTCTCACATTCCAATCGTTAGCCTTAGCGCAAGCAGGTGCCACCCGGCTGTCACGAGTCAGTGCTGCAGAATCCTGATTATACATGCGAGCCTTTAAAGTGCCTTAGCTTGAGCCAAGTCTTCAGGGGGAACAGCCATTTGCGGAGCAGCCAGCTTGTTGGCAATGACCATGGTACAGTTACAGAAGGGGAGCATTTTGGTGCTGTATTTCAGTTGCTTAGCTGCCATAATATATCCAAAATGCTTACAGTTTATGATGATGACACCTACTAAAACTTGCAGGCTCACACAGCAATGCTCGCCCACTTTGGCCACAATTTGTTTGGAAATGAAGAAATAGCATTAGACTAGACTAGACCTTTATTTGTGGAATCGCATCTAGCAAACAGCATTAGTGTCATTGAAGTCAGCCCAGGAGCTGCACCAATTACTGGGAAGCATTGAACTTGGGAGCCATCCCCTTGCGAGATTGCATGGCGTCTTGTACATTTTGGTAGCTTTTCGTTTGGACGTGTGGCCAGTGGGTTCACAATGCTTCAGATGACAAATCATCACACCTAAGGCTCAATGTATGAAGTATGATTGCGGCGTCATCCAGCCGCCTGATCCGCATCGGAACCGTTCTCGGGTGAGGGAGAAGTTGCCACTGCTTCGCTGTACCAAATTGGCCTTCTCTAGTTCCTCGAAAGCCTTTGATTTGATCCTGAAAAAGATTATAGAAGACTTGCACCTTGTGAGGCATCAGAATGGCTCTACATGCCTTCTTTTAAGAGAATGTAGCACCTTGGTTTCACTTTGACCTGTCCTGCTAGCCATGAACACACACCGTTACCACTCCACCAGCCCGGAAATCTAGATTTGAAATGATTTGAACTATACGTGGTAGTGGGATGTAGTGGGTCTTTGCACCGCTACAGGTAGCGCCTTAAGCGCCTCATTCGCCGGGACCAGCCTGTATTTTCGAGTCTCGACGAAAAACGGGGCGATGGGACTCGGGCAGTGTGGGCCCAACCTCAGCTAAGCCGGAGCGGTGCTGACGGTGTCAGATGGGAAACAGAGAGGAGATTATTTTGCGAGGTTTGTGTTGGCAGAAGCTTGCGCAAGTGCTTGCCCACTGAAACCGGTGCTCGATTCAATAATAAGACTTTGCAATCAAGTTTGACCTGGTCCTGCTCAGGAGATCGATTGTGGCCACATTGGATGGAGACAACCACCAGCACCACCACAGCATCAGCCCAAGACTCTTTTGAGACCTTTCTGCAGCGGCCATGCTCGTGTCGTTGTGTCCAACACAGGTCTTCGGGCAGTGCAGGGCCGGTGCCCAAACTGCTATGCTTGACTTTGCCTGTCAGAAGCAAAGCCGCAAGATGTGATATGTGAGCGAAGCAAAGAAGCACAAATACCACACAACCTACTTAAAGATGAATAGCTAACTAACGCACTAGGTGAAAGACTCTGAAAGACTGTTAATTGTCAAAGATCTCCCAGGATCTCCCCTAACTATCTCCCCTATCGAGGTGCTGCCATACCGATATACTGACACAGTGACATCGTGACGTGCTTCAATCAATGCTATCATGCGGATGAGTGGGTATGCTAACATGTTGTCGCTCATGTGCTGGCATGGCGTCAGGTCGCCATGTTATTAGCTTGGTGCTGGTGCGCTGGTGGGTTGATATGCGCTGCCACGGGCCTCGCTAATATGTTGATACGTTGTCATGCTGAATCACGCTGAGATGCTGACATCGGATCATGCTGTCGTGCTGTCATGCTTGCCCATACCTGAGCATTTGAGCATATGTACCACGCAGACAAATACTGTAGCTGTATTGCGATGCTCGCCTGGCACATTGAACAAGCTCCAATGTTAGCTTGTGTGGCATGGTGAAACACTTCCTGGTCAATGTGCAATGTTGCCATTGAATGCCATTGACTACTAACCTAGCAGGTCAGTTCATGTTCCACTGTTGGGGATTTGATTTTCTTTGGGCTTGTTTTCTCGAGAGTCGGAAGCCTCAATCGATCGCAAAACAAATTTCCATGATGTTGCCCAAGGCCTTCCACACATTGCATTGAACAAAGCTCCCCAAGGATTACCTACCGTCATTTGGCCGCAGATCACAAGCATCGAATCGAGAATTGAGCAGAAAGAGAGATGAGTGACAAGTGGTGATGAGTGGAAAATGTGCTATTAGTTAGAGGCCATCGCTTCTAGGTTGAAGACCATCGCTATTGAAGCCGCTATTAGGGTTGGAGGCCATCGCTAGTACCTTAAGTGGTGATGAGTGAAGTATGTGAACAATGTTAGGGCGGAAGCAATTGACCGACGTGTCAAGGATTTAAACGCAAACGAGCGGTTGAATGCTTTTGTGGGCGTGTTGGTTTCAAGAGAGCTGTCCCAGGTAACACGACCATTGATATTTGCGCAGAGATGTGTCGGCAAGAACCTGAACATTGTCAGTACATGCAGCATCATGGCAAGGTTGGTGAACATGTTGCTGTACAGATGTGTGAGTGCAGGGAGGCGCCAAACAGCACAAGTCCCTTGTTACTAGTAGCTTCTTGCTCCTGGTAGCGATGGCCTCCAACCTACATGCAATGGCCTCCAATAATTATAGATTTTGGGCCATGCACATGTTGGGCAGGTGATGTCATAATGTGGAAAGTGACACTGCAGATGTGTTTTTTTTAGTTTTCTTTGCTGCAGGGTTTCTGCCCATAGTGTATTTTAACAATGTATTTTTATTGTTTTGGAATGCATTGGCTGCTGGGATGGGATGGGCAATATGAGGCGAACAGAGCCTGCAGGAAGTGTAGGGGGGGTGGAATGTGTGTTTGTGTGTGTGTGTGTTTGTGTAGTATGTGTGTAGCGTGCTCTGTTGCTATGATGGTCAGGCATGACTGCAATGGTGATTGTCTTTTCTTGACTCGTTGCACTCCTCGAAGAAGCTCCTGCGGTGCGAGAGTTTACTTCAGCGTCTGGGCGCACAAATTCCAAGCGAGTTGCTACACCGGGATACACATGGAAGGTGAACGCAGACTGGCACAGTTGTATAGTCCAAGCTAAATGGAATTCCATTCAGCACCCATTTTCCCGTTTAAAGGTTCCTTCGAAATCCTTCGAACATGTTGGCTGATTGGCTTGAGTGTGTACACGTGTATGTTAGATGGGTTTGTTTGCACTATTGTTGCATATCTTGGCTCCATGGTTTCAGATGTTTCCTTTGCTATGTCCGTTTCGAGAATCAGGACTCCATGTGGCGATGCCCTCCAGCCAACATCTCTTTTTCGACACGAGCCTTGCTGTAGCCTTCGGCAGTTGGTCCTTTCTACTCTTTTCTCCCACAAACTTTGGTGAATTTTGAACTAGTAGCTTCTTGTTCCCAGTAGTACGGCCAGGAGCCCCTAGTAGCGTCCTTGCTCCTAGTAGCGATGCCAGGAGCCCCTAGTAGCTTCTTGTTCCTACACAACGAAGTGAGCCTGAGCGATCTGGAGTGTCAATTTTTCAGGTAGCATACAGCCAAACTTGCTATGGCTCTGGCTGCGTCTTGGCTAGCAGCCCTTGACAGTTCATTTCCAGCTTTGCGCGTGAACACTGGACAAACGAGAGCAACCACCTAAGGCTCCAGCACTTGCATGGGTTTGCTAAGGTGAAGTACATGCAGTTTGCCCATTTGGCTTCTACCCCACTGAATGCCAGCTCATCTCTTCATGGGGAGGCAGTGGACTTGATTTTGACGAGTGGAGTTGACAACAGGCACACTGTTTGTCAGTTTGTCTCACAGTTTGTCTCCTTTGAGCCCTCTAACTGTGGGGAAACCTTTGTCGCGAGTTCACGACTTCTTGTGGGGGCTCGAAGCTACCATGATGATCACAATCCACTGGGACCAGGCCCCAGGCTCCAAAGTCAAAGTAGGACAGTGGCCTGTGCCATTGAAGGATGGGTCGGATGGATGATCTCTGGAAGGCTTGTCCTGAATTTGGTTTGCAAAACATCATCCTTTGAGACATTTCAAAAAGGGTGACAGGGGCTCAGAGCTATTGCCTTGCTGCCTTTGAATGCGTCAGGAGCAAGCATGTACACCAATGATTTCGTTGATATGAGATGGCATACTGGTCTTTGCACTGCAGTGGGCGCTGGCCCAGCGGCGGCTTGGCTGTCAGTGCCCACGAGTCTACTAGATGTTGCACTGAGCTTCCTTGAATCCCTTCGGAACAGTTTTGAATCAGCTGTCGAATAACGTTGGGGCCTGGAGAGAGAAAGAAAGAGAGAGATGGAGAGAGAGAGAGAGAGGAAAAAAAACATTATATATCCTGGCAAGAGACCCCAAACGGTGTGTGTGAGGTCTGTAAGCAGAAAGTCTAGAGATCCAGACGCATTGGGGTCCAGAGAGGTGATGGTGGTGATGAAGGTGGGGATCGCGGTGACGGTGGCGGTGAGTGAGTGAGTGAGTGAGTGAGTGAGTGTGGGTGAGAGAGAGTGTGAGTGTGAGTGAGTGTGGGAGAGTGAGTGAGAGTCCGAGTGTGAGTGAGAGTGAGTGTGGGTGAGAGTAGGTGTGGGTGAGAGTGAGAGTGCGAGGGAGTGTGAGTGTGAGTGAAAGTGGGAGAGTGAGTGGTGTGAGGGAGTGCGAGTGTGAGTGAGAGTGAGTGAGTGTGAGTGCAAGTGAGTGAGAGTGAGTGTGGGTGAGTGAGAGTGTGAGGGAGTGTGAGTGTGAGTGAAAGTGGGAGAGTGAGAGTTGCGCCCGCCACGAAACCTGCACTTCGAGGTTCACCAAGTGCTGTGCCTGTCACGAAATCTGCACTTCGAGGTTCACCAAGTGCTGCACCTGCCACGAAATCTGCACTTCGAGGTACACCAAGTGCTGTGCCTGC